TTCTTAAGCCTTCTTCAAGTTGGACGTCTCATACACCAATAGCCAAACAAACATATGCTGACTTCTCTTTGAAAGAACTTATGCTCGCATCTTAACGAACTCTTATTCAGTCTCTTTTACAGAAGGTTCAAAGAGTGAGGCGTGAACATAGTCCAAGATCGAGAAACCAACATGCGGTTTTTACTTTTTCTCTAATTTGTATTCCTTATCAATGATTGTTTCAATTTTCTTTTCTATTATTACCTCTTAGGACGTATTTATTCATCATAATACTACCTCTCTCCTTACCAAAAGAACCCTTTAAGAAGGTAATGAACAGTGAAGACCATTGTTCCATTGTACCACATTTAAGAAAGAAAGAAGAAATTTAAAATAGATTGGTAAGAATCAAAGTTGATCGATGGACACCATCCATATACAACGTGTTCAAATTACAATTAAGCCCTAATCTATGTCAGCATCCAATAACAGTAGAATTGCACAGCAGTGCAATTGTAGCTAACATAAGATACACCTTGTCAATCATCATGGAGAAGTGACTTGGTTTCTGATTCTGCTCGAACGCCTAACTGGGGTAACTATTTCTTCATCTCCTCCTCCCTTTAAAACAAAGAAATAAAGCAAAAAGTGTAAGAAACATGTTCTGGCTTGTTGTTAGAACATGATCTTAGACAAGTGTAAGAATGGCAATAAAAAGGGGAAGCTTACATGCTTGTTTGGTATCTTCTCGTACGTTGTAAAACTACCATAAGAAGGGGAACCCGTAGAATAATCTGATGAAGCAAGAGACTCTCTCCTGTTATTCTTCCTGGGCTTCCTTTCTTGGCTTTGATATTCATTTGATTCCTTGAGTCCCATCTTGCTATAAGAAGATGAGGTTCTCTGGCAGCTGCTCATTTCTGATGGGCACGACTCATTAGACATATCTACTTCTGTCTGCAAATTCTTGGAAGATAGCCTTTCATGGATTGTATCATTTGAGCTAACTGACACTGGACTGTCTTCAGATTTCTTGGCCAGCACTTGTTGTTGCACAGGTACTGCAGCATTTGGCACGGAGGGCTTTCCTCTCTTTGGGTACATGAAAGCTGCCGTAGCTGCTAATAGACATAACAAAAGTAAAGAAAAAGCCATCACATTCTTTGCAATAAATCGGTCTTCTGGCCCATTAATTGCAGAATCCACTACTTCAGAACTTTGAGAGTCGTCAGTGAGAGCTTCAATTTTGGGGTTTTGAGACATCAATTCTTCCTTAGGGAACACGATTTCAGCAATGTCGTTCAAGTCAACACCCTCAGTGTTCCCAGATTTGGATACCTCAGCAGCCTGTGGGATTATGCTTGGCAGGTGGTTAAGGTTCACATTGCTTTGATGTCCAGCATCAATCTGAGCGGAAAATTCAACTCCTTTATTCTCCTCAGCTTCTAAATGATCCAGTTCAATCATCTCTGCCTCAATCCCTTGCTGCGCTTCATCAGGTTCTTCTCCTGAAACCAGTTCCAAGTTTTCAGGACCTTGACTCTCTTGGCCGTCTTGTTCTTCAATTTCTTTTTCATCATCTTCATCTACTGCCTCATCTGCTTCAATCTCTCGATGATATGTGTCCTCAAACAGTTCAGTTCCAGAACCCCTCTCCCTCACAGGATCCAATACACTGCAATCAAACATTAGGTGCCCCTCATTGATATGATCCTCTAGCAAATGACTCAAATTAGCATACTGAAAGGAAACCGTTCTGTGCACTTCTCTTGAACTGGAAATGATGTTGGAAACACAAGACAAGAACCTAGCTGACAAATGCTGAAGATATTGAGTGAACCGGTCAAAATTAGCTTTTGCAAATTCAGTGACTTCTGGCGGGAGCTGAATTGATAGGCTTAAATCTTCCAACCCAGAAGGAGCAAAGGTAGGAGAATTTACTACTAGAATTGAAAAGTAAGCAAATGCCAGGACCAGAAGGAAAGCAAGGAACTTTGATCTGGTAGAGAAACGTGGCTTGGACGTTTTAGCCTCAACACTCTCTTCAACAATGTCAGGGGCAATTGGGTTTGGTTCAGATACATAAAGCTCCTCCTCCTCTTCTTCTCCTTTCATTGTTTCCTCTGAAGATATATCCTCAGATTCTCTCTGTGAAGCTTCGGACTGTGTTTCTTCAGTAACATCAGTATCTGAATAGCTTTCAGATGCAAAGTGCTCCTCGAGCTGCTTACCTTCTCTTTCCCTATAGAGGTCAATTCGAGGATTTGGCCTATAGTGAAGAAACTGAGGCCTTGGAGAAAGGTAATTGGTTTTAGGGTCATAAGGAGGCATCGATGGATCTGCATCAAGTGGTGCTAAAATAGGACATGAAGGTGAAATAGAAACTCTAGGACTAATCTTGAAGCTGGGATCCACATTAACAGAATCATTTTCCTCTGTAACGGTTTCCAGCAACAAGTCAGAATCATTTTTGGGCACCTTATAATCAAAATCTGCGTTGCTTTTCAAAGGTTCCTCATATTCATGGTTGCTGCTTGATGAATCATGAGGGACCTCAACATTCTTCTGCTTCAAACCAATCCGTGGAGTTGACTCATCATCGTCCGTGACTACACTTTTTACATCAGCGAATGTCACCTTCTTCTGATTCACACTAATCACTGGAGTTGATTGATTATCTGCCATGATTGTGCTTTTAACATCAGAGAATGAAACCTTCTTCTGGTTCAAACCAATCTCCGGTGTTGCCTCATCTTCCATGATCACGCTTTTAACATCAGAGAATGAAACCCTCTTCTGCTTCAAACCAATCTCCGGTGTTGACTCATTATCTTCTTTGATTAGGCTTTTTACATCAGAGAAGGAAACAGAAGATCGAACTGATTCATTCCTCTCAACCAAGATTTTCTTTCTCGGTGATGCATTGATCTTTGAAGCAGCAGAGATTGTCGGTGACATGAAATTCTTTGAACCCTTTGAAGGAGCAGGTGATCTGACTCTTGTTGGTTTTGGATTCTGGTCTTTACTGTTTTCTTTGTCAGAATCACGCAAAGAAGCTACACTTTCTCTGCTAGTGGAATGTCTTCGAGTAAAATCTGGAAGTTGTTAAGACAAAGATAAAGTATCAGAATTATAGCTCTTTCTGTTTGTTTCGTAGGAAATTTCCTATTCCAACTTCTCTAGCTATGGGACTAGCTAGCCTCCTACCGAAAGTCACTTTAAAATACCCATTATGATACAAGTAGAGTATTATGCTGAAAAATGTATATTTTCTACCAAAACATGCAGATCAAAAACACAAAATGCAGAGTCTGTTAGTATCAATGACTTAGAAAGGCGACTAACTTTATAACCCGGATAACACAAATACATAGCAGTACATAGATTTTCCACTCAGTTTCGTTAATTTTCACTCAAAGTGATCAAAGTTAAACAGATAAACATTACTTGATTCTCATAGCAGATGACTATTTTCTAACAAAACTAACATAAAAGGAACAAAGATTCAAACCCAATCTCCCCTTTTTTTTATTCCCTTCATAACCCAGACAGCATGAACAAAATAATGCCTCAATTTTGATTTCCCTTTATTTAATATCCCAAATTCCTAGTAACCAAACATTACATCTCTTAAAATGGAAAAAGAAAGGCAAAGAAAGAAAAAGAAATGGAACAGTAAAAGAAACTGTTACCTGAAGGACTATTCGCAGGAGTGCTGGGGTTAAAGGTTCTGGGATTTGTGACAATAGACGGCTTTGCAAAGGGGTTTCCACTGAAACTTCTTCTCATAGGATCACTAATTTCAGATTTTTTCATATTAGGGTTCGTTCTACATGGGAGTGATGAAGAAGAAGAAGTCTTCGCAGGTGAGGCCATGGTGAATGTTTCCCTTTGTAAATTTCCCCCCTTTTTTTACTCTATTGATTCGTTCAATTCAACCGGATTTTGGGTTTAGAATGGATATAAAATGAAAGTCTTTGGAGCAAGAATGGTAAGATTGTGAATGCCAAAGAATCTTGAAGATTTGATGAAACGTAACGGCTAGTTTCCTTGAAGCAGAGATTCTGGGTATTTGAATGGATTGGGTTTTTTGACCGTTGGAATAAGGGTGTTTAAAATGATGAGGACAAAGCCGAGCCGTTGGATCATCGTACCTTTACCCGTTTGTAAAGTGGCTGAGAAATGGCTACATAGCCGTTGAACGTCTTTACTAGACTTTTGCTTTTGTTAAAAAATAAAAGAATTAAAAGATTATTCAGTAAACATTAAAGTAAACTTTGAATAAAACCCAAAGATAGAAAGGAAAGAATTAGAATATTCCAAATCTCATAACTCTACTTTCTTTTTTACAAATATTAAATTTATTTTTATTTTATCTTGCTCTTGATAATTCTAAATGCAATAGTCAATCATCTCTAAATTAATTCAAATAGAGAAAAGATCATGTTAGCAACACCGGTTTGTTAGAGTTTTGGTTATGGTGAGAGATGAAGTTAAAAAAATTTAAACATTGATATAAAAAAAGCACAATAAAAAATTGATTTAGGTGTTATTATAAGAACTGAAAAAATAATAGCTGGAATAGCTCAGTCGGTTAGAGCGTATGGCTGTTAACCATAAGGTCGGAGGTTCGACCCCTCCTTCTAGCGTTTTAATGTTTTCCTCGACTCTCTAGCGTTTTTCTTATTTTTTGGACTTTATTTGGACCCTCTACCGTTTTAATGTTTTCCTTCGTGTTTTTTGGGCCTCATTTGGACCCTATCCTTCCTGTTCTTTGGACCCCAGTTGGACCCTCTAGCGTTTTAATGGTTTTTTGATGGAAACTTCAAACGTTTTTATGTTTTTCTTCCAACAAGTTGTTCCTGTTTTCCTTGTTTTAATGTTTTTCGTTTGGACCCTAACAAGTTGTTCTTGTTTTAATTTTTGCCCTAGACAGCTCACTGATTTCTTTCCTAGTTTTCCTTTTCCCATTTTTGCTACCTTAGGTCATTCCAATACGAACAGATACAAGTAGAATAGAATTACAGAATTTCATGGAATTGCAGATATTTTTGTTTGGAGATATAACAACACAGTTTATAATGTTATGCAATACAAATGGACCCTAGAGGACTTAACTGCAAAGTACAAACAGATGGTACAAAACTTCCCAACCATGTCTACTTAGGAGATCAAGAAGTAGGGAGCATTCTATTGCAAGGTTTTCGACACCCTTGTCCTGGCAGTAATACTAGTACTGTCAGAGGACGCCTTCAGCAAATCCTTGTCATTTCCATGGACCCTTGCATTATAACTCGAGCACATCCAGTTATCCACAGAGAAGGCAGAAGTTGAAACATCTAACCATAACTATTTTCCGTTACATTAGAAACATTGGTTGAACAAGAAGGTTTGAAGTCCATGAGCTTTGAAAGATTGTAGTGCTACTTGGACTCACAGGTGCAGCAACAGTTCAAGATGGCTTAAAATCTTCTCAGATTCATATTTGACATTGCACTGATTGAATAGCATTCAAGGTATATGTTGCCTTCTGCAGCTTCATTAGCAACGTTTACAGCAGGAAATCTATAAAGAAAAGAGTTACACTGATTCTAACAATCTATCTCATCAATATTTGTTCGAAAAATATAATCTTCACCCTCTAATTCTTCCTGATACAAACAAATTGTCGGCATCTCAATCTTTTCAGTGGACTCCCCACCATTTAAAGACCTCCTTCCCTGAAAAATGCTAAAAGTGTCAATTTTACACCACAAACACAGGTTCAGTTTTTCATTATAGCATTCCAGGTTCACAAGTAATTCCCAGGAATCACTCATCAGAGAAACTTATTAGAGTATCACTCTTGCAAAATTCTGATGATATTACATGCATTGCTTATAACAAACTTGTTGACTCCCAAGAGTATATAATGAGCGTGTTAAAGAGAAAAGTTTAATTTTTTAACTCCATGTGACAGCTAGCTGCCTATTGGCGAACATTCCACATGAAGCCTTGTCAAGAACACAAAATACCAAAAATACAAGACATTAAGGAGTCTGGACTAACCTTCCTCAAGATATAGAAAAAATAGTGAAAACCATCTCCAAAAGTACTCCATTCAACAGACCATGTAAATTTGGGATTAAGAAAGAAAGGCCGCCTGAAGTGTGGCTGTATGAAATGAAAATTGGAAGTAAGAACAATATCCTAAATATTTACAAAAGGCTAAAACCCCATGTATTTGATTGTTGTACCTGGCCAAAAGTAATTGATATGAAAATCCCATCGGGCTTCAAAACCTTATGAACACCTTCAAGCATTGCCATGACCTTGGATACTGTTCCAGGCTGTGGATTCCATGGGTCACCACTGTCCACAAACAGTACATCCTTCAAAGAAATTACAAGGAAGAAAAAAATTAATAGAAATAATAGACTCACTAAAAAATAAATTAAGAACAGTAGGCAGTGAAGATATAATAACAATAGAATTAAGAAAACCAAACTAAAATTTCAGTATGTGTAAAAGAAAAGTCAACTTGATTATCTGTTTACCATGGTTCCTTTCTCAATAACCACATCAAAACACTCGCTGTGAAAGGGGAGGTCTAGCATGTCTGCTTCCAGCACTTTTATTTCTGATGAAGAGGCAACAAGAAAGGAAAAACTGATGAATGAAACTAGGTCCAAAGATAACCTAGTTCTGGCGAAAAGAATTCTGTTTCCACCATTACCAAAGCTTCCAAGATAACAAGAAATATAATCATTACTTTTCTCAGAACAAAAAAGGTTTTGTTTGGTTGATACTTTTGCTATTTGTCTTTTTTTTTTCTTCTTCAAGTTTTATTTTTTCCATTTTGCTTTCTATTCATGTTTTGAAAAAAAAAAAAGAAAAGAAAAGAAGAGCAAATGGTAAAAACATCAACCAAATGGAACTTTAACTGAAAAAGGAGATCTTTCTGAAATAGTGAAATTTGATCAACTTAGCCAATAATAGTTGACAAATAAACAAACCCTTATCTGCAGTATGGATTTCATATGCCCAAACAATTGAAGCATTCATGTTTCTGGCACTCACCAGGACAATTTTATATTCTCATGGTTTTCTGGAGTCTGGAAATGAAAAGACTACAAATAGCTATCGAATTGTCTAGGGTGCTATCTCCTACCTTGAATTGGCAGAGGGATCATAACACATCACCCCAACAAAAATGACAAGAATTTACTTCCATAAATGTCATATGCATTACTTAGTTCAATGATCTCAAAAACTCAGACAAGAGTTCATGTGCAAATTCATCAGACTCAAATCAAGCTTCAAATTCTAACAGGCCAAAAAAACAAAAATGGAAAATGAAATAGAAAGTTAGAAACTTCAGAAAATATCTGCTAGAGACACCTTTGTTTCCCTTAGACAATAACCTTTCCTTCATCCTCTCGACCGCAACAGATGACAAATCAATACATGTTATCTCAGTGATCCCATCCTTGTAGAGCTCTTCACACAACTGTGAGTTCCCACAGCCCAGTTCCAACACCTTCATCATATAATTTTCTCATCATTATATATTAAAGTAATCTGATCCCATCAGAATCAAGCACAACCATAATGAAAATAAAGATGAAACCAAGTAAGCTGCGACTACCAAATAGGCAAATACCAATGCAAAGCTTTGCATTTTATGGCTTGTTATCCCAGCCCAGAATTAACACAAGCCTAGCTGCTATTTTGCTCCAATAGAACCAAGGCTCTAAGAGCTTATATAGGCCTACTGTGTAAAGTAAGATCTTTCTTTGTTCTTTTTTCCAATTCACTCAATTATTAGGCTAAAAATCAAGAATTTAATTTAGACTCCTACGTTTGATGTTTTTGTTTTTGCCTTTCTTTTTCTTGCAAAAAATGAACAAAAAAGAAAAGGTAAAAAAAAAAATACAAAATGAGTAAATAACAAACAAATAACAAAAAGCAAAGCATCAACCAAAACGGAGCTTATTAACAAAAGCGCAGCTCAGAAACCAAATTAAGCGACTACCCATTTGCTTTTATGACTTGAAGTACACATTTTTAGCTGAATGACTAGAATTTCACCCAAAACCCATATAAATATGAAGCAAGAGGCATTCACACAATAAAGAGACAGAAAGAGAACGTACCGAGGAATTGGGTTTGATGTGGGCTTGAATGAGATGGCGAAAATGAGAGTAATCTTTGAACCACTCATAGTGTTCCTCATTAGAGAAACGCTGGTTCCTGCAATACAAACAAAGAATAAGAATAAGAAAGCATAAAGATGTGACAAGAGAAAAAAAAAAAAGGGTGGGGGGGGGGGGGGTGGGCGTGTGGAGGGGAGACAGAAATGGACAAAAAAACTTGAAACAGGAAAAGGTTACCAGTAGTTAGGATCAAGGTAGGCGAAGCGGATGAAGGAGGATCATGGTTTTTATGTTCTGCACTGGGTTTTGATCCGTGTCCATTTTTTGTTTGTCGGGTTGTTCGGCTTTCCCTTCTGTCTTCACCTTGGGTTCGCCTCCTGTAGCGCTTTAAAACCCTACCAAATCCTTAGTTTTAGAGCTACTATTTTTCATTAAAAAAAAGAGAGAGTTTTCCTTATTATTTACTCATCCCTACTGATTCCTGCATTAATAATTAATTAAAAATTATTGTTATATAATGTTCTCATTTTCATACCACCAGATATTTCGAGCATGAAGAGAACTAGCGGTCTACAGACAATAGTCAAATGTTATATTATTTTAAAATTTGCTTGATATAGCCAAATGATATATTATTCTTTTAGAACAGAGCAAAATGATGTAGGTGACATGAGCCAAGCTTGTTTATTTCAATAGTTTGTTTGTGGTCAAGTAAGATTAGTTCAGGTAGCGTCGGGCACTAGCTTACTTTTAAACGTTTAAAGATCATCTTTTCTAAAATCCCATTGATTGCAGTTGGGAGAGAAAAAGATCAAGAGGCTTAAAAACAGGGCAAAACTCTACTACTCTGTTCCGGAGATAGTTCTCCTGTGGTGTGACTTTGGAGTCCTGATGAACGTATGCTAATCAATTGCAAGAAAGGTTATTATTCCACCGTTGCTCATGTTGTTGCTGTTGGTAATATATATATATATATATATATATATAATAGTCCTAGACAACAGCTCAGTTTGACTTGCAGTAATCAATGGAATATCCTCCCCAGCTGAGACAGCTAGATCAAAAATGCATACAGGTGCTGCTTGTCTTGTTCTGCTCTGATGATCCTGGGTCTAGAGATGATATGGTCTTTTCTTGATGAACCCGTATGTTGCAGTTTGAGACTGCTTAGTCTCTTGGACGTTGTTTCACTTTTTTCTTGACTTGTGTTGCTTCTGAAGTCTGCAGCAGCATTATAATGCTTTGTTCTTTCCGGTTAAATGAAATTTTATTTAGAGGTCTTTTAGTTAAAGCTGCCTCACGAAGAAAAAAGAGTGGAGAAAAGGAAAAAGTTTGAAGTTTGAAAACTCAGAGTAAAGACATCCTTCTGAAAAATACATTCAAATGGAATTTTATTGTAATTTATGTTCTAAAGCATCAGTAAAAATGTATCAAATAATTTCCAGAAGTAATGACCAAAGGAGGAAGGGAACAAAGGCATGTTGTCACAAACTCAGCATCATATAACAAGAAATTTTCAAATACTCCCGCATATTAAGTTGCTTGGCTCTTCACATAATTAAAGTGATGAATCAAGTTCCAATTTGCTTTCATGGTTTGGTGACAGTCATCTATTGATGATTACTTCCAGGCGGCTAATTTCCCACAAGAAGCCAAAATATCAAGGATTTTGGACTTATTCCTTGTTTGAGTGACCAGTAGTTTGTTATCTTAAGATTTCCTTGGGGATGGTATTGGTGATGTTGGAGGCTTCAAGTCCTCATACCTGTAATTTTATAGAAGAAAGAAAGAAGAAACTTAATTCACTATAATATTCCTGACAACATAACAAGATAAGGCCTAAACTAGTATCTCTGTAAACAAACAGAATCAAGAAGACAACAGTCCTTTCTGGTGACTGGGGAGCTTCAAGAGCTCTAGATTATGCACACTAGCAAGTTTAACATATATTTCTTGCATCAAGAAACTAAAGTCACTAAGAAGGCCACATATATTTAATAAGAAAAAGATTTCATATCCACAAGTGACCTTGGAGTCAGCAATATTCATATATCTACCATCGAAGATTACTTCAACTACTTATGAAATCATTGACTTCATGAAAACATACTTAAATAAAGAAAAGCAAAGCAGGAAACCAGGAGAAGAAAACCAGGGAAACTCACATTGTAAAAGGAGAAAGTGGTCTCGATGTTGGTCCGGGATTATGCTGTTTATCACTTGGTTTATCTGCTATTGGAGATTGAGCTGTGCTGTTTATGGACAATTCAGCACCTTGGAACCCGCTGTCTGCAGATGCCGCTGTTGGGGCAGAAGGAGATGGTGATGAAGGGGGCTTAAGATCATCATATCTGAAAAAATGGAGGGCTATAATGAATTGAAAGGAGAAGAATGTAAAAAGCTAAGAAAAGAAATGGCTAAATGAAAATTCAAACCAATGGAAAAGGTAGGTTGTTCAACAAGGAAAATAAGTAAATCAAAAGTCATATAAATAAAAAAAAAATATTGATGCAAATCAAAACCAACAGGCTTGAGTGTTTAACTTCTTACGTCTTATCATATAATTTAATGAGATACTAGGTAAAAAACCTACTAAAATGTGAAAAAGTTCTGACAGTTGGTGGGCAGCATAGCAAAAATGTGACCAGCAAAAGATGGATAACCCCATAAAACATTAGCAAACTTATGCACAATAGGGTGAATGATAAGTTGACTGCTAGGAAGAATCCTTTTCAGTGATGCCAGTAGCCACAGCAGTTGGTGCACTGTTGCCTCCAGTCAAAGTTGAGACATTTTCTACTGGTGTTGAGGCACTGGAACTTACTACTTTGTGGTCACTTGGTGTTGGACTAGGAGAGCTAGGTGGCTTCAAGTCCTCATAGCTATTAAAATCAAATCAGCTCCTAATAAAATGGCTCATATTCTTGACATCTACCTAATAACGAAGGCAATAATTCAGCTACTGTTAAATAGATTGGCTTACGCGGTATAGGGAGAGAGTGGCCTTGGTTCCACAGCTTTTGCTTGCTCAGGTTTCTTCTCACTGGGAGTAATTGGTTTCTCAGTTATGATGCTTTTAGCAGGTGCTGAATCAGACTTAGAAGGAGCATCAGATTCCTGTTTACACCAGAACAGAAAGTTAATTAGACACTAAGGTTGTTTCTGCAACTGAATAATCTAGGGATATTAAATGGGAACACTGGCTTTTCTCCTCTTAACTATTTCATGTTACGCATCACTTACTAACCCATGACAACATTTAAAGATGAACTGTGGATTCAACCCTGCCTGTTGATCCCTCAGCCACCATGCTGATATGGTTAGGCCTCATATGAACTTTTGATTACTGCTCTTGATACAGATGAGAGACTAACCGTGAAAAAGATCATCTCTTCTTTAGGAACACTTTATAGTTTCTTTATCAAACACTTTAAGCAATTTTTTATAGGTGATATGCAGTGTAGTAAAAAAAAAAGAGGACAGTCATCCTACTCAAAAAGTCATGTCTTAGATGATGGAAAGGCTCCGAATCTCATAGAATGTTTTATATGCTCTCTACTCCAGTAGTTTGAGATTACACTTCATTAGCTCAAACTCTTGCACCCAGTTTCTCAATTGTGTTCGATGTTCATTGATTAGTGCAAAGTCTTTTCTGTCCTTTAAGAATGAAAAAGGAAAAAAAATACCTTAGGTGAGCAAATGTCGGCACGCTGAGATGGTATCTTTGCAAGAAGTTCCTCCATAGGTCTCAATGGAGCAGTTGTTTCTGCAATGACTTCCACCACCTTACAGTGGGAAAGGCTGCGGTTTTTGGCCATGCATGCCATGAGTTCTGCCACCTTCAGTGGAACTAATATTGTTAGGCTTATTTTGCAAGAAAGGCTTAAAAAATTGCAATATGAAAATTAAGATTATAAATATAAAAATATATATATATATACACCTGAAGATTTGACACCAGGCCACCAAATAAAGTATCTTCAGTAGAGAGTGTAATATTATGAGTTTCCTTGAAAGCATCAGTGGGCCGCTCCATTCCTCCTGGTCTGACTATCTGAACAGGCACTTCAAGATGAGTAATTAAATCCAGGTATGATGCATCTCTAAAGCTGGTAATCTAATAAAATTTGCAGGTACTTCAAGATCCACTTACAGTGTAAGGAAGACCACTTGCAATGAGTGCTTCTTCTGCCTTCCTCTTCCAGATCAAGACGCCCCAAAACAAACTTAAATGGAAAATGATAAAAGAGACAAAAAAAAACACTGAATCTTTGTTCCAATCTATCAGAAAATAGTATATATGTTCCAAAATGTTAAGCAGAAAACCCTCTTTTTGAAAAAAAAAGAAACTTACTTGAGAATAGCTGCAGGAAATCCAACTTTATTTGTTCCCAAAGACGAAACCAAAATAAAGTGGTTAACTTTTGCCACAGTTGCTGCACCATCAGAAAGAGTACAAGTTTTAGCATTTAGAGCTTAGAGAGGACAATGTTATTGTATAAATACTGAGGAAAACTCATCAAATAAGTGGTCTAGAACTGAACACTTCATTTCTCTCATTTACTATCTAACTTCACCTTTCTCTAGCAAGATTTGTCTACGCTTAGAAAAGTATAATTTAAAAAATAAATAATGCACAGATGGTTTATCTCTCCCTTTTTTTTTTGAAAAAAAAGAATAATTGCAGAAGGCCTTCCGAGCTCCAGATGCTAGCATGCCAAATGCAAACTAACAGACATGTTAGTGGTTGACCATCTTGTTTACCTGCATTAATAAGATTCTGAGTGGCCTGGTAATCAATCCGATAAGGTCCTGTAATGTCAAAAACTTCCTTCTCACTGGCACCAATGCAGCATATGACCACTGATGCATTGCCTAAGGCTGGTGCAATGGTATCTTGTTTCTCCAAGTCATATTCCACAATTTCAAGCTTTTCTACAGCTGGTCTAAAGACCAAAGATTGCCTGTTACTTACTCTGAGTTCATTATTATCCAATTGGAATATTTATAGAGTGCCGATATACTTATAAATTCTGCACCACCTCCACTCATCTCACCACAATTTTCCCTAAGGTGAGATTCACATGAGGCAGATGGCAGTGATCGAATGAGTGGACAGGATGAGTAGAAATGGGGAGTAAGAATAACATTATCATTTCAAATACTAAAAACATAAATCTTAGTTTTATCAAATGTTGAGAGCAATAAAGTATAAGAAGGAACCAATATCCGTAGGCTCTCTTGTCCTTACGTGTAGTTCCTTCAGAGTCAAGCTTCATCTTCTTGACACTCTGCATTCAAATTTCTCATCAATATAAACATAATTTGGGAATGCTGACAAGAAAAGATTAATACTTTTTAACAAGTAAAACATAAACCTGCACAAGAGTTTCTGCTTTCTGAGCACTCCTAACTCCAGCTCTAACTCGAAAACCAAGTTTCAAAAGCTCCCTGGAGAGTGATGAGCTGTTAGCACAATTTAAAAGTGAACATCTAGTTGTTTAACTTTCTAGTAAAGCTGCCAGTGAGTTATAACCTTACTGTTCGAGATCCTACTCTACCAGTTGCGCCAGCGACAAAAGCAAGATCCTCATCTTTTGAATCTGCTTTGTTTGAAATTGCTCCAGCCACCTCTGACTTAGTTTTTGTTGTGCCTAGTAATGAAAAAGGTAAGATACTTACCATTTGGTAGTTAATACATGAGAAAGGGGGAGAGGGAGGAAAAATACATTCTTTCCACTGAGGACGGAATAAAGAAACTGCTGAAAGCAATAATGCAATGGTTCATTCCCTTTATCAATTAGCTTTTGTTTACACTTGTTGGGTTCTCCACCACCTTTCTCTTATGTCAAATGCAAAGACATATTTCTGCAACTGTATCTGATCCCCCAACAGCTGAACTATCATAAGGAAGAAGTGTCTGTCCTAGGACTCCCTAAGTTCTACCTAAATGGTTTTACCAGCGCAATTCTAATGAAAACCCCTTTTCATTGGGCTACAATTTTTTTTTTTTTGGAAATCTTGAAATGATGGAAGAATCATGATAATTAAGTCCAGATTGAATTTCAAAATGTCAATCTAGTATACTCTTCCAGTCTAATCTAGAAGTCAATTTGACAATGAAATATCCAAATGGACTCTGATCTGTCATTTCTGGACAAAAGAGATCAGAAAATTAATATATACAGATAACTATATACATATGCCAATTGTTTACTAGTCCACATTGTTTGAAAAATATTCCTTAAAAATTTAATTGCAAAAATATTTCAATGACACAAAGACATACCATTGCTAATTTGGGTACCCTTTAAATTCCTTTGATATTGATCAAACGGCTACATGCTCATCCCTTATTTGCAAAGATTTTGCATAATAATTTAAGTGAAATTGATCAATATCTTACGTTAAAATTTCACAGGAACCTAGTGAAGCAGGCCTACTACATTGGTTTGATGCTCACTTGTCAAAGCATTTTCAGAACAAAGAGTTATTGAAAGCTTATGTTAAAACATACATGTCAACTGCAAAAATAAAAGGATACAGCATTTGACAGAAAGCATAGAGAACAGCCCAAAAAAAAGAATAGCAAATTGACCAAATGTAGGAGAATTTCTAAAATCTTTTTACCTGAAGCTTGAGCTCTGAAATCAAACACTTTGAGCTTTCTGCTAAGTGGGTATCTTTTACATCTGGGAAGCTTGAAAACTCGACCATATCCAAGAGGTTTCTCAATGAACCCACTCCTGGGCAGGGAGGAGGGTACGGTTGCAACGGCTGGTGACTGTAGGCAGCAACTCTCCATCATTTGAAGCAGAACAAAAGCAAGCAAAGCTCCTCAATTCAAACCTCAAAAGGAAACTTAAACAGTTTATCTGGACGAACTTATTTTTGATTGGTAGTTGAGGCACCCGCCACTCCATCTTGATATGATGGGTCCCCCAGGAATCCCTGTTGGCACACCTACTGATTTTTCCTTTTCCCTTTTTCTATGGCTGGAAAAATTTTTATACCCTATTTTTTTATAAATAAAAAATTAATTCCATCTTATATTTCAATTCCATTCAACTGAGTTGTTATGCCGCAACTCAAGTCATCACCTTAAATCCTCTGGAGAGGGGTAAACAACATGCAAGAAAATACAATTAATCCAGTGAATACCACATTACATGAAATGATAAATTCTTGTAGATTCGCTAATAATGCTCGTATAAAATTTGATGGGATATCATCATTTCGTTCATTATGCATTGCCTCTTAATGAAGTCTTATCCACAAAATGAATGCTGTTTTCAATATCTGTGCATGCTGCCTGAGACCTAAGAGCATTAGGCATGTTTTCCGCATTGATTATTACCATTTTAAGGGTATAATATGATCAAGTTCTCCCAGCTTTTGCAATCGTTAGTTCAAGTTTCATTTGAATATATATATAATCTCCTCATAGCTCTCTGTAATTTGATCCATGATCATTGACACAGCTGCTTTCATTACTGCAAAGGTTGCTGCTCGGCAAATCATCGAATGATTCTTTCTTCTGAACTTCTTTTTCTGAAACCAAAAGTAACTTGTGAAGAAGTGAATGGTAAATATCCGTTCAAGTCGTCGATGATCCATCTCTGCTGTTGTGCCCTTGTTTGGGTGTGTGTAATTTTATGGTGTATCTATGTTGTTAAGGTTGTTGTCATTCACTGACCATTTTGGTTTGGATTTGAACGTATGAATTGGTAGGATCGGTGGCAACAAGATGAGATGGATGACATCGAGTTGGCTACTCAGCTATCCCTTTTAGATAACAGCGATAAAGGAAAAGCTGTGCCTGGTGAAATACATAATATTTTATTCATCATACCAAAAATTATGAACCTTTTACCTGCCTTATTCATTCATGCATTCATTAATCTTCATTAGATGATATCGTGCACGAAGATGAGGATCTAGCCAAAGCAATTGAAGAAAGTGTGAGATCTTCAGTGCCACGAAGGTAAAGCACAGTCCAAATTTACATTAATCAGAGACTAAAAAGAATAGAGAATTGAACTCTCATTACTTGATTCCAATGGAAACGCTCTAGAAGAAACTCTGACAGACGCCAGTCCTATCAAATTATTTGTGATGTGTGTGATGGATCAGTAAGTAATCTCAACTTGAATTCAATCACTATGCAGACAAGTTTATGGGGTTTGTCTCATACTGATACTAGCCTTTTGACTTTCTTACAGATTCCCAAGAAAGAAATTTGCAAGCGTGAATTCTGGAACCAGCATTTTTGTCGCCGTCACGTATCCGATGGAACTCCGATCTGCTGTGGTTGTATGAGGCTTAAGGTAATTTATCATTCACTATTAACCAATTGAACCATCACCACCAAGGCAATGAAAAAATGAAATAGAAATTCACTTGATGCTATATAGGGAGCAAACACAGAGTATATCAACCTTGGTGACATGAGAAACATTTGCCCGGATTGTTTTGCTACATCAATCACAAATGCAAGGCAAAAGCAATCTATTCTAGATAATGTGATTGAGTTTTTGAGGCTAAAAGATGTGGAATTCAAGGTACATGTTCCTGTCTTCTTGGTGGATAGAAGAGAGATGAGGAGACATACCAGGCGAGGAGTTAGCACAGGAGTAAGCAATCTTTTATTGTCTTCCTCAATTCCTTCATATATATATATATATATATATGTATTTGTCTTTTTATCAATTTAACTTGTTGGGATGGAACATATACAGCCTATTCATCCAGACAGCGTGGTGTGGGGACTCACAATGTTCAATCCAGATGAAAGTTATGCTGAAAGTGTAAGGAATTGTATAAAGAAATTAGACTCCCTTTTGTTGATTAATTTTAATCTACGGGAAGCAAGAAATTTCCTTTTAATATCCGCTGCATGTCACAACAATTTCATAGTAAAACCTAATTTTCTATTATATATTTTGTTTTTATGACTGTGAAAATGATAGGTTGAAAGTCTTTCACGAAGTGGGAGGAATATTAGGGTGGAGCAGAGGAAGTACCTATTAAATCATGACAGTCACATAACAGTCCTTATTTTATTTGGTTTGCCAAAGTACTCCTCTAATTTACTTTGCTTAATGGATTGAGTGAATAAATGCATTCATTTAAACTAAAAAAGCATATAACACTCTGGAATCTTTGATTTGCAGGATCATGACAGGTGCAATCATGGCCCATGAATTGATGCATGCTTGGTTTAGGCAAATAGGTGAATATTTGCATGGACAATGAAGTAAAAAAAAAAATATAATGTTATAATTCAACAATCACGCTAATTATAATTATATATATCAATTAAGTATATGATAGTCATTATGTTTAGGTGTTTTCCACTTGGAACCAAAAGTGGAGGAAGGAATATGCCAAGTGGTAGCTCACGAGTGGTTGGACTGGTTCGTGGTGATGGACGAGGAGGCCTCGTCTAGCAGAAGCGAGAATGCTCAATTCACTAGGAATTTGAAGCACACGTTCAAGGATTTAGTGGAAATCGATTCTTCCCATGCTTACGGTGAAGGGTTTAGAGATGCCAAATGGGCATTTGAAAAATGGGGTCCTCATAAAGTGATTAATCATGTCGTCAAATATGGAACTCTCCCTCAATAATTTGATTAACCAAATTAAATGGAGAGTTAATTTTTTTTCTGTTACATCTTAATTTCGTGCATGTAGCACCAAATGAATTGTCTAATTGAATTTAATTATTACTCTTTGATCATATATTATTTTGGAAATATGGCATAGGAAATACGGACAAATTTTACGACTGTCTAGAGGCTAAAACATGTTCACACAAAAATTGGGTGGAGCAAGGCAGCGCCAGATGTGACTTTGCTCAATCGTAACATGGAAAATGGATTTATTTCATGGTTCTTATTTCATCTGATTTAAATCAGTGTGTGACGCTGACGCAATTTGACTAAGACTAGGATCACCATTTATTCTTGGACGACATGCAACACATGTCTGCCTTTAGTTATGATCAGAAGAGTTTTATTTTGCAGTCCATTTGTAAAATCAAAGTGAATGTGAAGGTAATCTTGGCTTGTTTTGACTTAAGCCCAATTTAAAGAAAATAATAAAAAAAATTAACATATATTTTGGATGTTTTACACCTAATCAATTGATAATATCACATAAAATATCAATTTATAATATATTTAAAATAATTAGAGAAACTAAATATATTGAATAAATTGACATTTGAAATTACCTTATATTTTGAGTAATTTACCATGTTTATATGTTGTCGTGTTTGGTAAGGTTTTGAGTGGGGAAAAATTGGAAAGGTATTCGTGTTGGTCTTTCCAAACAAGGACTTAAAACCTGATTGGGCATCCGAGGCGACTGCGAGGAGAGAACCAGAAACGAGCGATCCTTTCAGAACAAAACGACAAAAGTAACTAACAATTGAAAATTAGGTAAGTGAAAAAAATAAAAATAAAAACCACGGAAAAAACATTGGAGCTGCAGGACACTTGTCGAAGATAAAATGCGCACTCCAACCACAACCTCACAAAATTCTCCCCACTCTCTCTGCTAACCTGCGCCGATTTCTCCATCTTTCTCTCTAATGGCGACTTCTCTGCAACTATGTCGTTTCTGTATCCGCACCGGTTCCGATAATTTTGGCGGAAGACCCGGAGCGCTCCCTCTCCGGAAGCCTCTCACTGTTAGATGCTCCGGCGATTCTACTTCTTCTTCTTCCATATCTGTGGATCCCGGTAACTTCGATGCCAAGGCTTTTCGACATAACTTGACGAGGAGCAAGAATTATAATCGGAAAGGATTCGGCCACAAAGAAGAGACTCTCGAGCTCATGAATCGAGAGTACACTAGTAAGTTTTGTCTCCAAACAAAGTTCCGTTTTTTTCTTTTTCCTATTTTTAGTCTGAGGTAACAAAAAAAAATTAAGCTGAATTTTTGAAAGAATTTTATGTGTTTTTGAAAAAACCTTTCAGGTGATATTATTAAGAAATTGAAGGAAAATGGAAACGAGTATACATGGGGAAACGTTACTGTGAAATTGGCAGAAGCATATGGTTTTTGCTGGGGGGTCGAGAGAGCTGTCCAGATTGCTTATGAAGCGAGAAAACAGTTTCCAACCGAGAAAATTTGGATTACCAATGAAATTATCCACAATCCAACTGTTAATAAGGTCTATCCTTGCCCTTTTCTTTAGTAAAATTTTTTACCCAGTTTGTTTAATGATTATTAATTCATTCATGGAAATCAAATTTTTAGTTCTTAGCAGCTCGAATTGCTGGACTTGTTGTTTCTTTACATAAAGATAGTGTTTTTTCTTTTTCAATGCAGCGGTTGGAGGAGATGGAAGTTGAAAACATTCCTATTGAGGAAGGGAAGAAACAGTTTGATGCAGTGAATAAGGGTGATGTTGTGGTTTTGCCTGCTTTTGGAGCTGCAGTAGATGAGATGTTGGTTTTGAATGAAAAAAGTGTGCAAATTGTTGATACAACTTGTCCTTGGGTTAGTAAGGTATTTTCTGCCAACGCTGATATGCTGTCATAACAACTCTTTCTTTGTAATTCTTTAATTTTATCTTTGCAGCCTTCAACATTCAGAACAACGAGTTCTTTTGTCCTTTTGATACTAAAATATTATTTCTTTGAAGGTATGGAACACTGTAGAGAAGCACAAGAAAGGAGACTACACTTCGATAATTCATGGTAAATATGCTCATGAGGAGACAGTAGCAACTGCTTCTTTTGCCGGAACATATATCATTGTGAAGAATATGACTGAGGTATGTCCTACTGTGGCTAGTATTCTGTTTTCTTGTGATATCTTATGCAGTAGTTTTTGGCTGCTAGATGCCCTTTATATGTCATTGAATAAAAATTGTTTGTTTTCGTGTTGTCTGATTTCTGAAGGCAATGTATGTTTGTGATTACATTCTTGGAGGTAAACTTGATGGATCTAGCTCAACCAAAGAGGCATTTTTGGAGGTGAGAGTTTTGTTTCTTATTTTCTTCATATTTAAATTGTCCAGGGCATTGTGCAAATGTTCAGATGATTATTGGCTCTTTTTCAGAAATTTAATTATGCAACTTCAAAGGGATTCGATCCAGATCGCGACTTAGTGAAACTTGGCATTGCAAATCAAACTACAATGCTGAAGGGAGAGACAGAGGAAATTGGTTAGTGGCACTTATGCACTTATGATATATCCCTTCTTGTTTGCAAGGAATTGCTACCCATGACGCATATGTTACATTTTGGTTTAACAGGAAAATTAGTAGAAAAGACAATGATGCAAAAATATGGAGTGGAAAATGTCAATGATCACTTCCTAAGCTTTAATACAATTTGTGATGCAACACAAGTAAGTTGATTGTTTGTGCCAGTTTGGTTTTCATTATAAATTTGTGAATATATTGTCTTATAGAAGATTTTATGCATCTACTGCTCCTTCTTGCCTCTTTCCCCTCAGCTGATTGCGTACCAACTTTTATGTTAGTCATTGAATTAAAGCTGATTTATCTTCTTTTTCAGGAGCGACAAGATGCAATGTATAAGTTGGTCGATGAAAATGTGGATCTTATGTTAGTAGTTGGTGGTTGGAACTCAAGCAACACGTCACACCTTCAAGAAATTTCAGAGGACCGTGGGATCCCCTCATATTGGATTGACAGTGAACAGAGAATAGGTCCTGGAAACAGAATAGCTCACAAATTGAAAGTAAGTTAGAATGCAAAGTAATCACTTTTTGATGAACTTCTAGTTTTGTTGGCCTAGAAAATGGGTATTTCATTGCAATTGCAATTTTTTTTCCTAATAATGCAAATGCTGTGTTCTACCAGCACGGGGAGCTGGTTGAGACAGAAAACTGGCTACCAGAGGGTCCCATCACAATTGGTGTTACATCTGGTGCCTCCACACCAGATAAGGTAACTCTCTTTCATGTGAAATTTTGTATTTTTAAAGTTTGGTTTACTTATAATTTGTGTTTTGATTTGTTTTTCCTTTTATGTTCTCCATTAGAAATGTTTTATTCTGCAAAGACTCTGGAAAATTTGCGATATTAAATCACTTGCATATTTATTAGTTTATAGCTAGTGCAAGCTCGATGATGCCATATATTCGTTTTACGAACTGATAAGTGTTTTCTATATTTTGTAATTTTTTTTGTCATCTATTTTGATCTAACCAGGTTGTTGAAGATGTCCTTATCAAGGTGTTTGACATAAAACGCGAAGAAGCCTTGCAAGTAGCATAAATATAGGTTCATACAGGTGCATCAGGTGATGCTCATTTGGTAGTACAATATTGTCAATGTATGATTAAAACGGGAGACTCATAGGATCTGACAGTGTAATCACATGTTCCTTTGAATAGTAATGGTGCATCTAACGATGTATCATGAAATGCGTGATATTAATGGATGTATGTGAGTTTTCTATATTCCTGTGGCAGATCCTGACCTGGATTAGAGTAGTGCATAAGTTCAGTTTCTCATGTTTCTAAGTAACACTGCGCTTGTGCATATTGAAGTAAATCCGTTGATGCAACATGAAATGAACCAAAAATTCTGTAAGGTACTCCTCTCCTCGAAACTTAAGCATTGAAAAAGCTGATGATGTTCAATATCATTAGGAACCTTTTTGATAGTGACACTTAAGCAGGTTCGGACCAAAAGTAAAATTTATGTCAAGAGTCCAACTGCGTGATGAAATTCTATAGCACATGCGTAGCGAACAAGAGATAAGGATGGTAGGCCAGGCACTCTTTATCTTGTTCCTCTGCCTACTGCCTCTAATTTCAACTGTTATTAAATCAGCTGTCCTCTTTGAAAAGTTGGGCTCTACATCTTTTGCTTGACATGGCTCCTCCAGGTTGATAATTAATGTAAAAGCAAGGTTTAACAACCATGATTGGCCTATAATCTCATGTATTTAAGAGGTATTAATGCATTGTTGAATATTCAGAACGAAGCCTAAGCTTTTCTCAGTTGGCAGTATAAAAAATGAAAATTCTTTAATTCATGAAAATTAAAATGAAAAAATAGTCATGAGAAAACACTTCTGTAAAAATGTAAACAAAACATGAATACGTCCGTTGTAACCTTATTCGGCACTAGAGTATCAATTTCATTCCTCCATCCTTCACGTTTGATCGCTATCAAAGCTCGATTAGCAATGGTATATGCATATAATGACTCAACCAGCGCTGGATTCTAATGAAGCTTCTGGAGTCTGATCAGTTGATCCACCCCATGTTCTTAGACGTTCCTCAGCTTGCACAGCCTGCACCATTTATCAACGTATTGTTGATCCAGCATCATTTCATGAATATCAACATTTGCCAGGCTGAAAGTTCAACATACCTCTTTACGCCAGCTGGCTCGGAGCATTACAAACAGCAGGATGGTGGTCTGAAGGACGGTTCCCACCAACATTCCAGACCAAATCCCTTGAACCCCGAGCTTAAATTTGAAACCTAGCAAGGCCCCTGCAGGAATCCCAAATATGTAGTAACAAGCTATGTTGATCAAGCCAACATATAACTGCCAGCCTGCTCCCACTGCCACCCCTGCAGGACCAACAGAAAAAAAAATTTTTGAGTTCTTCTTCCATCACAGCTTATACATCCTGCAACTCAGTTTTTCTTGTTTCTTAATTTTTCAAGTGGCATTTATGCATCAGAACAATGTATGTGAGCACATCTGCAGGAATTGTTTTCTTTTGCATACCCCATTTGACGGTGACTGTCTGGTTCTCTTATCCTAAAACTCGTTGAACATGGGCAGCAAGTTTATGTAACGTGTGAACAAAACTATCTCAAAGCATTCCTCTTTCTTTTTCTCTAATCTTATTATTTAAATAGATTAGCTTAGAACTAGGCTAAATTCAAGTATTGAGAGTAAGAACAATTTGCAATGTACCGTGGAGAACAGGTAGAATGCTATTGAGGAAGATTGTTGCTGCCAGAAAATACCCCAGCTTTGATGTCTTCTTTATAACCACTGGTTTGTCAGTGAACAGCTTTGGAAAATCATGCTTGGTTGCCAGAATAGCAGCCGTGAAAGTAATTCCAACCACTAAAGATGTTAAAACAGCCACCACTATAGAGAATTTGGCGGCTTTGGGATGTCCAGCTCCAAGTTCATTGGACACCCGAACGCTGTAAGAAAATAAGCACATACTTCACCAAAACTAGTGGAAAATTCTAGCAGAACATAATTTTTGAAAGGTAATTATGTTAACCCAAATTCGTTAATGGCTAAAGTGACGGACCTCACTGCTGCATTAAAACCCAGAGTAACCATTGAAGTCCAAAGTTGCATATTCATGCTGTCAAATTGAGAACAGAATGAATAGAGAACAGGATGTGAAAGCAGGTTCGTGACCTCTAATTCCATCAGTGAGAACTCTGATACAACTTCAAGAATGAAAGATTGAGCATAAGAAACTAACCAGATTGAAATAGCATCTACTGCAATGGTAGGATTTTTTAAATATCCCACCATAAGAATAATTGCCGTATAGTACCACAGCTCCAAGCTGTGATCATCAAATGTCAATCTTGTTAGCATGTGTCGAAATTGTGAGATGGCTTATCAGGATATCCAAAATCCAACTACTTACCACAACATTACAGCAGATGCAAGCGAGAGTTTCACGAAACCACCCAATGACTTGAAAGCCAACAGGGAAAGACCAGTCCATGAATCCGGGAAAAACCCTGACACCACATAAATTACCATGGCGGTTACCTGAAGCCACCATGAAATATTACCAGCCATGGCAGCACCTAGTAGGCCAAGGTGTAGCTTCGTCACGAGAGCCCAATTCAGCAGGACATGACATCCCAAGCCCACAACTGAAATTATGGTCATAACCCACACTTTGCTCTGAGATTGGAGGAACTTTTGGATAGGGAAGTTCATTGCATAAGCAAAAAATTGAGGAATGACCATTCTGCAGTACTTTCCTGCAAGCTCTGAGATATCCTTGTCTTGACGAAGTAGCTTTAGCATTGGTGATGCAAGAATATAACAAGGTATTAGACACAGAGCTGTGACTGCGGAAATGATCCATGACCTTTGCAGGTAGATTCCAAGCATATTATGTTGTCCAGCACCAACAGCTTGACCGCATAGCGTCTCCAGAGCACTTCCCATTCCTAACTAAATACAGAAAGAATTTTATGTATAGAAATGAAATGTCAGTTCAAATTCAGGTAAAATTAACTTAATCCTCTATACAGCTCTTGCAATATGACCATTTGGTTATTGCAATATTGAGATATAAATAAAGAGATGAAAAATGTAAGCTTCTTAGATACTACAGTTCAAATGAATTATAAAACTTGGTGCCATTGCAACCGTAACTTGAGATAGGCAAAAAAATAATCCTATGTTTGAATGAACAAGAATATGAGCTCTAGGCAAATTATGATTGCGTTTGGTTGATATTCACCATGATACCAAATACAAAGCCTTCAATCACATTTGTTGTTACGGTGACAGCAGCAAGTTCAAGTTCTCCCAAGTGGCCTGCAAAAGCAACCGTGACAAAACCAATCGAAAACTGAGAGACTGATACCAAAATGGCAGGGCCTGCTATCGCCCACATCTTCTTTGATTCCTTACAGCTTCTTTTTACTATCTTTTGCTTAGCGGCTTGCTCTCCTCTCTGTCTCTCCACTTGAAATGGCTTGACCTCAGTAGGCTTTTCCTCTGGTTCTGATGAAGCCATTTTCCCTCTCTGAGTTCAAATTATCTGGAATGCATAGAAATATATATACAGAAACCAAGCCGGTTGTCTTGGCTCACCTACCAAAAGGTGAGAACTGCTCTGAAAAATGAAAATCAGGGTTGCTTCAGATATGATGTGAAAGGTTTATTAATGGTTTAGGTTGCCAAAAAGCGATTTGCACTTCAGTGATTTCTTCATCTGGAGACATCATCTTTCGATATTTGATTTTGCTACTTCTTTTGATGCAAACCCGAGCAAGTCACTGGTGATTTCATGATAATTATAACATGATTTTGAGGTTTGGAAACTGTAAGGTTAAAACTTCAAATTGTTCTGAAATGATAGGAAAAATTGGTCCCTGGAGTTGAAGAAATAAATAAATGTCAGGGCTCTTCTGCTTAGACAGATGAAGACATACTCGCCAGATGGTAGGATTCGAGGTTCGAGATATTGATCTAGTCATGACTGGCGAATCAAAGATTCCAGATTTCTTGAATTTTTTTCAATAAATCAGATGGAATGAAGAAAACCAAACATAACTGCCCTGCCAAAATCATTATTTTTACAATATTTATGCCAAATTTTATGAGTACGATTCCAAACCAAACATCTACACAAAACACTTGGATTTTACAAATGGTTACAGCCTTGCGGGATTTCCGAACTTGAAAAATGGTAGAAAGCGTAATCACTCGTCTTTACGTGGTCAATTTCCAGGGGGACAGGATCAGGGTCGTTGGCTCGTTGCTTTCCCCGTTAACTGATCCCTTCGTCGTGGGCATTGTAAAGCCATACCAGTGCTACTGGCATTTAAAGAAAGAGACACTTTATCTTGGGATATCTAACAACAACATCAATGACATTTATAGAAATATGACAGTTGAAAGTCACAGTTCCTAGAATTTTGCATTTCTTAACTTGTGAGAAGCCTAGACCTTCTTTTGATGGAGCGTTGTTTTCACAATAACCATGGAAGCATGTTTTTCACGTTAGCTATCATGCTGGGATCCGTTCTTCCTGTGATCAGAAGAAACAAATAAAAGAAAAGTACCATTGATTAGGAGGAAATCTTGAAACCAACTATTTGACATTTAAGTCAGTCTGCCTGTGTTAAAAGAATCAGAAGTTGCAACTTTGCAGCTCCTCCACAAGTCCTACCAGATTAACTGGTTGCACCAACTGGTTGGCGAGAGATCAAAATCATATTTGTAGAAGACTCCCACGCATGTCAACATGAACTTACCCATTTTACTGAAAAAATGTAGAGAAAAAGGAAAAGTAGTAATACTATTTTGTCATTCAAGATTGTCTCTTCTTCTCAACTTTTTTCCCCTTTTTGCTTCCCTCTCTGCTTTTTTATGCTTAGAGACGTATGTATACATAAATGCATGCCAAACCCAGAATCATATGATCTTTGTTATGGTAAGAGGAAATCTTGGTAAAGAGATCGTAATGATAGAAAATGTTAAAGGAACCAAAAAGAATGGTATTGCTATTAACATATACATATATATATATATATTCTTGGTAGTTTGAAGCTCTAAGTCCTGAGTGGTTCGAATAATAATTGGTGGATATGGAATTAGGCTTGGATTCTTTGCCTTGTGAACCACAATAAATAACTATACATTCAGGAATTCAAATTTGGCTCCTCTGCTCCCAAGGTGTGACTTTGGCGTCGTCCATGACTACGGTACGCAATGTCTCACTTAAAGTACTGTCACTTTTTAAGTTGGAATGAAGGTGAAATGGAACAATGTCTTGATTTTACCTGAAACTTCAAAATTGTAGCAGCCTGGGTTCTCATGCTTTTTGCCTATCAGATGACTCAAAAACTAGCCACCAATGCTATCGGGTTGCTTGGAAATAGATGACTGAACTATTTCAGGAACCCGATCAAGCAGGCGATTCATCTCATCTGGAAATTCAGCCTTGGCCCGATTAGTCTTTCCCCCCACAATTACTGTTGTTCCATCTTGCAAGGCCCATATCTTACATGCCCAAAGAACAAAAAATAGTAAATTCATAAACACATGATGGATTCCAATCACAGTTTGATTAATGTTAATAATGACACCAATAAAAGCAAGTGTAAAGGTTAGAATGGTAGAAACAGTGTTCAATCATTGCCATAACTTTTTTATTCATTATTACTGTAATATTTCTTCTCAATGGTCAAGTAAAGTAATCCCTTCTCCTCCCTCCCCCACATCCCCCCCAACCAAAAAAACAATAGAAAGAAAAAGGAATTCCTGAGCAAAAGTCAATTCTGTTTTAAACACTTAAAACATAAATCCATAATGAACATAGAATTTTCACCTGCGCATGAGATAAGAAACTGATGCAAGTTGTGAGCATTAGAGCACCAAACCCAGCATAGACAATTGGGACCCCTGGATCAGTCTGAATAAAAGTAAGGTTTTGTTAATTAAGATGAAATTTTCATATAACATAAATTCCATAATGTGTAGTGTATGAAATCTATTAAGTTGTCACCTTCAAGTCAAGACCACTACTGCCAATTGCATCAACAACAACAATTTTTGTTCCATCAATCTCAATAGGAAGCTTAGAGTTAGGTCGTCGGACTCCAGCAAATTTCCCTTGTTGATCATATAGGGCAATGGACTGCAGATCACGAGCAAGCATTGATCTGAAGTTTGATCAAGGGAACAAGTTAAGATCAGTGGAAAATGAGCAGAAAAGAAAAGAAAAGGTAGGCATTGATCATTAGTAATTCACCCAAAAATACTCATGTCATCTGATCCCTCATACTAAAAGACCTGTTTCACCTAAGGTGATAATCTAAAGATCTACATTCTAGATAAAAGACAAATCACATAACAATCAGCATATCCAAATGTCAAGCTTGTAACAAGCCTGATGGCATATTAAAAACTTCAACAATCTTTTCTTTTCTCCCAACTTCAATACCTTTTACTTTGATTGTGATTTCTTTAAGTCAGTAAAAATAGAACATGGAAGTAGAGGAGAAAAATCCATATAAAAAACATTCACGGAAACAAGGCTGTAAACATATACGTACATTCCCTTGATGTTAGGAGAATTTGTGTCCCCTACTGGTAGAAAGGTCCCAAAAAGCTTCTTGTCTCCATTTAGCTTTAGCGGTGCCATTGCCAAATTGAAAGGTCCCTCGTCATCCTTAAGTATCTGCAGTGCTGAAAAGCTCCAATCTGTCTGGTATATGGTGAACCCACCATATCTTAAGGGGTCATTTACACTAAGTGTTTTCCTCATTACTTCCTTCCCATTGAGATCAAATAATGATAAGTCAGTGTGAAATTGTGAAACCTGAAACAAGGGGCAAATAAATTAAAAAAGAAATCATTGAATAAAGTAAAAAATAATAGAATTAAGCATTGTTAAGCAAGAAAAGCAAAGAAATATGTCCAGGTAGCCATTAGTTGAGGAAAATGGTTCCAAAAAGAAGAGCCTCAGCATCAGGAAAATTTTGATAAATAAGTCTTCATTACAGAAGTATTAAAGTTCTACCATAAAGTTCCCCTCCTTTTATATGTCTTCAAACAGCAAGAAAATCAACACTTACCTCTCCACTGTCATAGTAGTCCATGTAGAATCGGTTCACATGAACTTCAGTATTGAAAGCTTCAGTTGGAGTGGAAAGAAACCCTGTTGGGCCCAACACATCTCCTACAACAAAATTGAGCCCCTGTGGAACTGTGACGGACCCTCTGAAGCTCCCAGTTGCACTAAGAGTTCCACCTGCCATTATCAGCAGCATTGCTAAATGTACTCCAATTGGGGCAAATCGACCAGCCAGCCCCTTAAAAGCATACAGTGATGGTCCTTTCAAGAAAACCTGTATTAACCAAACCATGCATTGTGAAGAAATGTATATAGAGGCAACATTAAGGAGCTAAAATGAGATGAAACATGATGCCTACTAATTTAGGATATAGTAAAGGTATTCTGCAATTGTATGACACATGGATCCACATGGAAAAAAGATTATTCTTTAGAAGTTACACAGCAACGGGGATGAATTTACTCTGATGCTTACAAGAATTTAAAATGACCATTATATGTGACCCTAGTAATTATTAAAGTACTCATCAACCAATAGGCTGAGAAATAAAAACAATAACAAACATTGCAAGAAGAGAAGCATATAACCTCATATCCAGCTGCCATGAGAACAACACCCAAGTCTTTTACTGACGCTCTTGGAAGAGTGTCAGAGAATTCCTGCTTTCTGATAGCATCAGCTGACTGCAAAAACCTCCATCTGCATATGTGGATTTTCCATAAGTAGCAAGCCTCTCCAACATATTCCAAAAAGAAGATGACTAGAAGTTGCTGAAAAATCAAACCTTCTTGCAACTTTAACAAGGGGGATTTGTGTTGTGTAAGTGCAGGCCATAAGTGAAGTAGCCAGAAGAACTAACGTTCCAAGGAAAATGGGAGATGAGAACATGTGGTCTAATCCCAGGGTGAGAACCCATCTCCAAGTGAAGAATCCCAAAACTGGATTTTCTTCAGGGTATTTTTGGAAATAGAATTCTGGGGCTTCACCTTGATCAATTGCAGTACCTACAGAAGGATTGCATACGGAAGGCCAATTCCACCAATGACAATGAATCAGGCTACAATTACAATCGTCCATTTAGTCAACTTTAAACAGACTTGCTAGCCGACTACTACTACTACTACTACTACTACTACTACTACTCACTGATGAAATTAACAGGACTAGAAAATCAGCTATCTGAAACGTATATCCTAAGCATCAAGTTCATATTTTTGCAAAACAAAGAAATTAAAAACATAACTTTTACATGAGAATGAAAGACCCAACTTACCAAGAGCCATAAGGCCAGCAACAGTGAACATTTCTCCAATAGCCAAAGGCAAGTTCGACAAAACAGCCAAAACCCTTTTGGGCAGCTTCCTAACCAGCCCCCAAGCTCCACCTCCATTCTTTGGCTTAGGCTCAACTTCTTCATTACTCAGTTCTGGCGCAGAATCTGATAACAAAATCTTCTTGGATATATTCTTGCCATCGGTTTTACGACCTTGAGAGGTTTTGGCTTTGCCAGTAATGGTGAAAGAGAGAGTTTTTCTGTTAAAGAGAATACGGGTTTGGGGATTGAAAGCGGAATGAAGAAAGGAGGATTTAAAGAGGGGGATATTGGGTACAAAGAGTTTTGCTGTTTTTGACGGGTTTAATAGAGTTTCCATTGATGAAATTCTGGAACTAAGAGTTTCAATGGTGTTGGACAGGAAGTGTTAGTTAAAGGGGTTTTCTTTTTGGTCGTGTAATAATGACCGTTGCTGTTGGTTTATCCTAAGATGAGCATTTCCATCCTTTTGGGAGTTAAGAGTATCTTTTCATTTTAGCGTGGGCCAGGGAGGAACGTGGAACAAGACTTTTCGCCTTTTCTTTTGCATGCTTTTTATCAGATAAGGAAAACTGTAGATATTAAATTTATCAAAGTGTTAAATATGCTTTTGAGATGTCCTAATAATAGATATCTGAAACGTATCAATTAAAGCTGTTAATTCAACAATTCACATATAATTCTGGCATTTGAGAAATATCTGAAGTTTCTTCATCACAGGCCAAAACTCGACAGATCAAGAGGAAGTAAGAAAAGATCCTTATCTCTCCAAAGCCCACAAGTAACGACCACACAAATTTGCTGTTGGTTTTCACCTTTTTTTCCCGCTATCCTCGCAAAGTAAGGAAAACAGAGCACAATGCTGCTTCCATCTCTCCAACTCCCAACACCCAAAACCCCGACTCCCCTTTACCTCAAATTCCGCACTTCTCACCGTGAAAACATTCGCTACCTGAAAGCTATAGGCATTATCGACCCAAACGCCAAGGCCCGCAACCTCCCATCCCCTCAAACCGTCGACCAAGTCCTTGCCACCATCAACTTCCTCAAGTCCAAGGGTATCCATGACCAAGACTTCTCCCGCCTCGCCTTCCTTTGTCCCCAGGTCTTCTCCACCAACTTTGATACCTCTGAAATCGAACCTGTTTTTGATTTCTTGATCACTGACTTGGATGCTTCTGTCGAAGAATCTCGCGGCTTGGTCGTTAACTGTCCCGACCTCTTGTTTTCGAACGTTGAATATTGTTTGAGGCCTACCCTTGAGTATCTCAGGGCACTAGGGGTGGAGAAACTGAACGAGCCAAGCAAGCAGAAGGCTTTTCTGTTGAATACCAGGGTGGAGAGGCTAAAGGTCAAGATCAGGTTCTTGAGGAGCATAGGGTTAAGATACGAAGAGGCAGCGAGTTTCTGTGCTAGAATGCCGTCAATATTTGGGTACAATATCGATGATAACTTGAGGCCTAAGTATGAGTTCTTGGTGGGAGAAATGGAGAGGAGTTTGGAGGAGTTGAAGGAGTTTCCACAGTATTTTGGGTTCAGTTTGCATAAGAGGATAGCACCCAGGCATTGGCATTTGAAGCAGAGGAATGTTAGGATCAAGTTAAATAGGATGCTGTTATGGGGTGATGAAAGGTTTTACTCAAAATGGAAGTGAAATTTGGAGTAATAATTTTAATCATATATTCTTATACCCTTTCTTTTCTTCCTTTTCGGTGTTTGGGCATTTTACCCAAAAAATAAAAACACAAACAAGGGGTTTGTAACTTTATGTATAGGAAAAATGAAGGGGGCTCGATTGGCTCATGGCGGTCAATGAAGATGAAATTTGGTCTTCACATCTATCTTCCTTCCCATTACCATCTTTCTGGGTTTCACAATTTTGGCTACAGTTAACTTGAATGCATAACAAGCAAAGATATGCATTTTGCATTTGCCAGAAAAAATCTGAACTAGGGAGCTGATAAGCAGAGTTTTCAATTAGACACGTGGGTATGTATGCATACGGAGTATTCATGTTACCAGTTTTTGGCGAGTGGAAGCTAATTACAAGCTGAGCATCACAAATAAAATGAAAGACAACATCCGTTTGTGTTTGCTTTGCCTGTAAGGTAGTGAATTTAGTACAATTAATTCCCATAAATAATGAAAGAGAAATTACAGTTTTTCATATATTTTTTTGGGTTCGCGCGGGCGTGGGGTGTGGGGGATGTGATTCGAAAATGAGAACCACATGCACGTTTTGTTTCTTGGTGAATAATGAGCCTAAAGATCCATCCAAGCCGTTTACCAAGGAAAAAATGAAGCAAACATTAGGTTGTCTGATGAAAGCCCAAATGCCTTGTTTCGGCATCTGATAAAAACCCCATTGCCCACAATTTATTGGTCCCTTGTACATGTTCAGTAAATATGACCCACATTTCCTCCGTATTCTCCTATTTGAACCGCACCCACACTCTTAAACCATTAGCTGATCCTGCAAAAATGTGAAGTAGGAAATACATATAATCAAGAACAAGACCTTTCATTGTAAATGAACTAGAATTAAGCCCTGAAACCCCCACTCTGCAAGCAAAAGAAAGCATAGGTGATGGTTTGAGCATTAACCAGTCATTATGGTGGAAGCTTTCAACCAAATGCCTCAGATAATACACACAGACAAGCATTAATGTAAAATGTGCATGCCTCAATGTTGAATCTTTACACGGCTTTCGCAAGAGAAAAAAATCATTTACCAGGAACCACCAGCTTCACCGCTGTTTTGTTAATAGTTCAATGTCAGCTCCAATTTCTGCAATCTTGGCTTCCTTAGATGCCTTGGCAGCTTTGGCGATGTTCTCAACTTCTAAGTCCATTGCTATTTTCTTCACAAGACCCTCAAGCATCTGCATAGGAGATTTAATTAAAAAAGAAAAGAAAAAACAACAAAATCTGGGGGAAATATCTAATGCTTAATCAAGTAACGTTCCATAAGTAAATCTGAAAAATCAAGAGAATTCAATTTTATTTAATTGATTACAATCCAAAAAGCCCATCTAGAACCATTTAAAACTAATTTTGAAAAACTTGTCATATATTTCTTCAAAGAAAGCTGCTTATAGATGTTTACTAGCATGCCAAAATACAAACACCAATTGCTCCATCAACTATGATGCAGGTAGTAAGACTCCATTTGGTTGATGTTTTTGCTATTTGCCTTCTTTTTTCATACATTTTTTTTCCATTCTACTCATTTTTTACAAAAAGAAAAAAGCAAAATAACAAATAACAAAAACATCAACTGAACAAAACCTAATTTTTTCTCTTTCCTTAAAGCAGACTCAACAGAACATGCACATATTACGGCATTTTGAAAGCAGAACATGCCCAAAAAAAAAACTTAAAGCAGGAAGCGATATGGACACGAATGAAGCTCAGACATCATTTAGAACACTGAGCAATACAAGTCTAGCCTGATAAAGTGGAAGGGATATAACAAAGTATACTATTTAGAAAAATATTTTTTTCTGAATTTGTTGTGCTGTAGTACATGTCCCCAATAAATCCAAATGACAACAGAGTCAACCATAACTGCCAGGCTGAAGGTAAGAAAATGAGTAAAAAGATAATACCAGTGATCCAATGGCAACTAATGCTCGGAATCTTGAATCAACTTCTAGATTTTCCTGCTCAGCAATCTGTTTAAAAGGAAAAAATGATGAATTAATAAAGATAAGGATTTCAATCACCGAAGATCACTACTGAACAAAAAATCATTGCAAGTCCATTTCCAAATAGGAAAATTCTACACTGTGCACAAACATCAAACTCTCAAACTCTTAGGGAAGAGATTCAAATTAGGGCAGATGAAAAAGTTTTCAATTCCACAGTTAGGGAATGGTTAAATAAGACAAACCTCTAAAGCTGCTGAAAGAACATGAGATTGGCCTTCTTCATCCTTCTTTTCAGTTAGCAGCACTGCATAACTGTGAAGCACACACATGATCACTTACATCAGAGAAGGTGATTCCCTGCCCATAATCAAAACTAAAAACTTGTATGTAACTGTAACAGTGGAGCTATAAGAGCAATTGCTAAAGGAGACAAAAGGAACTACGTCAACAATAAAACAACAGTGGGTCAAAAGCATAACCATTAACTGTCACAAATGGTTTCACTTAAATAAAAGCCATGTGTGCATATTTACATTAACGGAATGCTTACTTCAGTATCAGGGTAGAATAAGCCAACTGCAAATTCTTGTTTGGAGATGCAAGACAAAACGAAAATGCATCAAGAATCTGCAAGAATAGTAGAAAATAAATCATCAGAAAGTATAATTCTTTTTTTTTTTCCAGTTGTTTGGTGAAGAAGGGCAGAACGGTATAAATTGTAATCCTAAACAGACCAGAAACATCAAAATCCCAGAAGACAAAACAATAACAAAGCATTATTCAAATGCAAGAAATGCCGCTCATGAACTATATGCAGACAATACCATAAGCACTATATTCTTTTCAATCAGAAATGCTTTCCCAGAAAAGTTATCAAGAAGACTACAGCAGGAAGAAGCAAATAGAAGGTGTGGAGAGAAAGACGAGAAAAATATAATTTGCAGGTGCTCCTAGAGTCAGTAAATTAATGATTCATTGCCTTGACATAAGTCCTATCCCTTTTAAGAGTATACTTGTTAAGAGCAGAATTTGGCAACATCCAGTAAGCAAGCCCATGAAAGAAACAATGAACAGCAGTAATAGGTTGTCAGACAAGAGAGTAAATAAACAAATCAGAGTAGAGTTGACAATCCAGTTAACAGCCAAATGATGTCTTACCAAACTTTTGGTTAGTATCAAGAGCATAGAATTAACATCCATCAAAGCCATGCCAAAAATAGAATTCTATCTGCTTAAAGAAAAGGAAATATAATAGCCAAACTTATATACCAGACCACAACTGCACAAGCAAAGAAACAGAGAGGAAGCTATGCAAACATGCACATTATTTTCACATCCATGACAAACAAGCCCACTTCAAGGCAGTCAAAAGAGTATCCAGGACCAAGGAAATTCATTATCCAAGTTTAGCCATTCAAAAGACCAGGGTTCAAAACCTTGATGATTTATCAATATAACATTACAGTGTTATTTGTCACTGGCAATTCCTAATTAAAATCAGAATATACTAACTGAGGAGGTGCACTTACCTCACTGCGATTCTTTTGTAGCCAGCCATAGTAGCATGAATCCTTGAAAAGATTAGTTATAGCACGGATGCTGGTTAAAAGGTTCGCAGGAAGTGCAGGATCTGTAGTGACTTTCTTAATCATTTCCATTAGCACATCTAGTTCAGAACATAAAATTCGAAGTTAAAACTAAACATAAAATATAACAAAGAGGAATGTTTGCATATAACAATTTATCTACTACTTCATGTATGGATTTTTGAGGACAAGTTTATGCCAGAGCAACTTGAGCCTCAATTCTCAGGCCATCAGGTTTATCAACCTGTCCATTAGAATCTTTATCAATAAAATAGGAGCTACTCGGTTCATAGGAGTTTTGTCAAAAAATTTTGGCTATATCAACATATATGGCATAACTAAAATTCAAAATTTAAAATTTTAGTCATTGCCAGTTGCAACAATTAATTTTCAGAGATAAAGGCTGAACAAATAGCAGAGAAATTCTTTAAGCTAGGTACCATTGACTTCAACATGCCTGAGAAGTATACTTGCCCCACCAGGGTGCAGGACAATCATCCTCACAATGTCAATAACTGCACAAGAAGAAGCACGCCATTGGAAAGGTGAATAATGCACTTGAAACATATAAAGAAGGGAGTCAATCTATAGTTGACATAAACAAGTGTAGAACTGTGAAAGATCATGAAGTACAAAAAAGGATACAATTTTCACAAGGAAATCATGCTTTCAATTTAAATAAAATAAAGTGCAATTCCCAATAACTCTCCCTCAAAGCAGAATTTAAATAACAGCACTATACCAAAGAAACAAACTCAAAGACAGACCACAAACTATGAGCTTAAAAGTTTCTCCACACAAACCTGGAAATATCATTGCAAGTGGCCATGATTTGAGCAACTTCAGCAACAAGACAATGTCAACATCTGCAAAACTGCTAGAATGGTAGTGTGATGTGTCCTTCAGAATTTTAATAATAGCACTCAGTCTAGATATCTCCAGCTCTGTTAGAGACAAGTCCTTTTTTTCCTTCACAAGAACGTAAATTGATCCATTATACAGGAAACTAGATGTAAGAGAACTACTACAATGGAACAGAAAACCAATAGTAAAGCAACATAAGAAAACCAGGCAGGTGGCCCCAGACCTATATACAAATGAATACAAATGTCAAGATTAAGTAGCAAATGAACACTTGTGTCTATGGAACCTAAGGATAAATCTATAACCAGAGATGAAGTCTACTAAGGGAACCTTACATAAGACACCCAAAGCAATCAAAGTAGAAAACATTATATCTTTAATAATTAGACTTTCATATAGGTATAAGCTGTCAGCACAACAAAATGATGTATAAGATGACTCAAAAGCAAGTAAAGAAATATCATGAAGAATACTGGTGCAACATAAAACTATCATAGACAAATAATAACCATGAACGCAAATAAATAAGAATGAGAGCTTGCATAATCTACCAAGTCAGCTAGTAGAGCGTTATTGAACTCTGAAATCTTTTTGAGGATCCCATCAAATTGAGCCGCATCAAAAACCAGCATTCCTCTCTGGAATCAAAATGGCAAAGAATAAAGCAAAACAAAATTACTTCTCGAAAAATGACAACTAAAGGACTAATAACAGCTAAGAGATGCATTAAAAATAAAAGTTTGTGCATTAGTGAGCAGACCATTGATATTTATAGTCATTAACTAAAATCAATTCTTTGACTACAAGCCTTTTTGGTACTTTTATGCAATCAATTCCATCTTGAAGCACATTTGTCTGGAAGGGGAGCCAAGAGTTAGATTTTAAGATATGTCTACCTGGTAACTTATGAGTGTTATTTGCATACATTTCCATATAGACCCTATTAGTAATCTTCTAACAACAAAATATATATATATAAAAAAAAAAAAGCTGCTATGCCCACATAATGCCAAAAAGTCCATCCTAAAATGCTAAAATGATACAGTAAGAACGAACCTTTGGTATATGCTTGAAGGTAGGTTTAGCTGATATACCTGTGTACAAAAATAATATAAATATATCAGAGCTCAGAAGAAGTCCTGATGTTGACAAAGTTAAGAGTAGATCTGCTAGAAATAAAAAAGGAATTTATATATAATTTTCTTTAAACAAGTACAAACCAGAAGCATATGATGGCTGTCCAGGTACATAAGCACTTGCTGCAATGAAAGACACAAGTCATTAAAGCATTGCAAAGAAGTAGCCAATGAGACTAAGAACTAGAACCTCATCAAAGGCTTCCAATGGTGAGGTCAGTGCTGAAAAAATTATAATACTTACAGCCGGTATATGGATCACAGAATGTTGGATCAATAGTGAAATCCTTTTGACCAGTATTTTGCAGTATAAACTCCACAATTTGTTGACGATAGGAAAGAGGAAGGTTCTCCTTGAGAAGCCACTTATCAGCAGTGTCATAAGGGTTATCTGGAAGGATCATAAGTTGTGTTATCACTTTTAAGTTAATATTGCATGCCCAATTCCTTTGCTGCATGTAATTTGCAAGTCATTCAATGTACGATCTAAGATCTTTAAGATATTTTCCCTAACAAGCATTAGATAATAAGAAATTCCAAGGTAGTGCAGAAAAAGAAAATTCCGCTTTACAAACACAGTTATACATGGTTAACATGGCATGCCTGATACATTTCTTGTATGCAATTTGCAAGTCATTCAAGCTACAATCTAAATTTTCCAAGATACATTTCATATCATTCATTAGATGATAAAAGATGATGAAGTAGTCAAAAATCTTTTCTTATTTCTTTACAAAGTACACACTTAAATATGTTCAATGACAAGCTGGGAAAGAAGATCAGATTGTCCTTACATGAAACAAGAACCAGACCCACAAGATCCAAGGGAAAATGCATGAATTTGAAAACAGCAGAAAACACAAGGCTAAGAATAGAGAGATACCTGATCGATTATAGGGCAACTTACGAATAGGCTCCCCATCGCCAATATCAACATCAAATACTGAGTCACAAAATATAAATCTAAGAATATATTTACATTAAGTCATTAACCTTAAAGCAAGAAGTTACTCGCTCACCATAATCATATTGGACTCCATCAAGAACAGAACGCTTCATGCTGTCATCTGGACCATCAACAACTTCACCAATCTGAATCAGAAGGCAACAACCAAATATAAGAATTTTTTAAGCAAAGGCAGCAAATGGCAAGCCAAAGTTATCAACAGGGCATACTACATTTCACCAATTAATAGTCCACTAGAAACTTCACCTCCTCAATCATTTAGGGACCAAAATTTGTCTTTGAACTTCTATAAAATCAAAGAAATTACTTTTATTTCAAACACAAATAGTCTGAAAATTATAACATATGAACCAAAAAGCTGAATACAGAAGAACAAAAGTATAAAAGGCTTTCATGTTCTTTGTAGAATCTAAAACATCAAAATGAACAGTGTACTCCAGAAGACAGGATGAAAGCAAATAATTGAAAAGATTTGGAATCAAGTTACTTTATCCCATATCTGTTCTCTCATGTTCCATGTATAAGCTACACCATTGTCCCCTTCTCTAACAATTTTTGTCTGGCCATCGCTGGTTCCTGATCAGATACATCAACTATTAAAATATATCCAACTGTTACTATAAAAGATATGACCAGTAAAAATTCCTACTGACAGGAAAATTAAGTACTTTCTCATCTCTAGCCTAAACAAAATAAGCATGATCAAAGTTACCACATAAGAAAACTAAAAGGTACTGTCCGTTAAAAGCCCACCTGGAATCTGTAAAGCCTCAAGCCCAGGCAAATCTTCCAATTTCAAACCACCAACAGTCTTCCTATTACAAACAGTCAAACACCAAGATATGAGATGGATATTGGGCAAAGCTGAAAAGCAAAAAATGTTAGCAGCTCTTGAGTGATCCAATTGGCAATCAAATTCTATAATAAATCATAAAATTGGACAATGAACTACTGGACTAAAATATATTCTACTGAAATAAAAGCGAAAAATAAGAATTGAAAAAGGCTTAAACAGTTAGCAATCAATCTCCCCATTCTTTCATTAAGAAAGGGTGACCAATGCAGAAGATCATAATACAACATTAAGGTATGCAAAAATCATTGGCAAGTTTTATATGATCATACCTACTCAATTTGTATTGAGAAAGTTCTGAAGCATATGCCTCAAGTTCCACTGTATCTGCAACGTTACCCTGATCTACTGTCCAAATGCGTATAACTCCATCTGAACATGCAGTCACAATATCTCCATTTACCAAAAATTTAGCATCCCAAACACAACCAGGGTGCTCTAAGCTTTGCACACAGACTCCATCTGCACTAAGACATAATTTTCCTTGTGAAATAACATTTGAAGTCATGCAGGACCAATGTTTAGCTCTAAGTACGACAAAGATAATAGCTTATAGCCAGTAATGATACTTATAGAGTATTCCAGGAAAATAATACACGCACAAAATTTACTGCTGAGAAGAAAAGACAAAATATTCTGGTTATGCTTTCAGCTATACTTGTAAAATCATATCCAAGCCAGTTTTGATGGTGAAACAAGTTTTTAGCCAAGAGGTTACAAATAGACAAAGAATAGTGAAGGAAAAGGATAAATTTATCAATTGAAAACAAGAAAAATAATAATTGAAGATAAAAACAAGATCATCTTTTTAATTATGTCAAAAAGTCAGTCCAAACCAAGAAAGCCAAAAAGATTCTCCAAAAACTCTGCTGTGTTATCTAAGAATGAGCAACCAATAGTTGCTTCAAGGTCAACTCAAAACTTAGCTTCAATCTCAAGAAGCCAGTGAGATACAGTTGCAGCCCTTAGCTACTAATTGAACGTATGTGATCACTTTAAACAGATATCCAAATGGTAGAAATAATCACCTTTCCATATCTTTGCAAAACGATCTTCACTACCACTGACAATAAGTCCAGAAATATGAGAATCAACTGAATAGACAATGGAAGTATGACCGACCATCTCCATTAAAACTTCACCACTTTGTGCCCATAACCTAATGGAACTAATGCAACGAAAACAACACAAATATTAAGGATGACTGCAATCATGCATTCAAGCGAAAGAAACATGATAAATAAGAGAAATAAAAGAAGGAGAATAGAAACAAAAATAAAACTAAAACAAAAGCCCGGTAGGAAAAAAAGAACAAAATAAAGTGGCAACACCTCTACTTAAGTTGGCATAAAAGACCATGCCAGCATATGCATACATGTAGTCTAATTTAATGTAACACAATAATGAAAGAAGGGGAAAAGGCCACTAACCCATCATGTGAAGCAGAAAGGACTCCCAACCCAGGCATAACTGCCAAGCCCCGGACAGTATCTGTACAACCATCAAAAGCATGAGTGCTTGTGGAAACTAATATCTGTCATTTTACAACAAGACATGTTCCTTCCGGATAACGACAATCCATCAAAAACAGCTAGAATTTATGCATAAGCCTACTAACCTACTCCAGATGACAGAATTAGAAAGAAACATATACTCATTTTCTTAAGAGAGCAATACAATTTTCAGAAACATAAACATGAAAGACAAATGTGGAGCAAATACCTATTTATTAAGAATAAAGCATGATAAAAATGGGGGAGCAGGGGGACTTACCAGTATGCCCAACGAAAGTGTGTACACTTGTCTTTCCTCTCCAAAGTTTCAAGGTTGTGTCAGTTGAACCTGGATTGTAAATTTAAAAAAAAAAAATCATACACATTTTCTTCCAACTTTTTCTGTTCACTCACAATGCAGATAAAACTGATATGACCAAATAATTATGTCAACTGCCAGAACAAAGACTGCATGCCATTGAGCTGAGATTGAAAAAACAGACAAGACAAATACACTTACACCAACGAAATAAATGGATTTCTATCATCAAAATGAAATTTTGTCAAGTTTTGTAACACCATACGTTAAATAACTCAAATAACAACAGAATAGAATATACCTGAAACTAGCTCTCCTGAAGGAAGCTTTATTACAGCTTGGATCGCTGACTTGTGTGCCTCCCACGATTCAACAGGTTGGCCATTCCTCCATCGTCTTAAGGTACTTCAACGGAGATGCGCCACATAAACAGATACTCACTTAGCTACTCAAAATACAAATAAACAGGCGAAAAGCGGCTATTTCAATATAAGAATGTCAAATATTTTGTATCTAAAATTGTAACACACCAATCAACGGAAGAGGAAACAATGTCCCCGTCATCCAATAAGACACCGGTAACTTGCAATTGGTGGCCCTTCAATGACTGCACTTTCTCTCCAGTCATCAAGTCCCAAACAAAAACCATGGTATCCAAACCACCGGACACAATTCCACCTTCCGGAAACTCCTCATCAGGCGAAATCCACGCCAGCGGTCCCACGAAACTCGAATGCCCCAACAGAATCTTAGACGAGACATACTTACGCTTATCTGGGGAGTCAAGAGACCAGAACCTGACGGTTCTGTCTCTTGAAGAAGTTGCTATACCTTCACTGCCGCAAACGCATATTCCACGAACCTAAAAGTTTAGGTAACATTTCAAACCTAACTGATCGAGACTAAACGCAAATGGCGAATAAATTTGTGAATAAATGAAGAAGCAGTGAGAGAAAAAGAAGACGATGGAGATCTTACGTCGTCTTTGTGGCCTCGTAGTTGGCACCGCAGTTGATATTCCTTGAAATCGATTTCCATAGAACTCATCGAGCTTTTAGAGAGTGATAAAATCTCAGTGATTTTAGAAGAGAAAAAACACAGATGTCAAAAAGTTTCGCTTGCTCGCCAAGTTTTATTCAATTCTGTCTCTTCTTTCTCCTTTTTCTTTTCTTTTCTTTTCTTTTCTTTTTTTTTAATTTTCTTTCCTTCTAGATCGCTTCGTCCCTCCGAGCAACCGATAAAAGCAGAGCCGTCGTTAAACGTCCGTCAACGCAATAAAATAACACTCTCTCCGTCCCACTATTTGTCTTTTATTAATTTTTTTGTCAAATAAAACTCAACTTTAATTTTTTTTTTTTTTTTGGGTACGTAAGATCAGGAAAGCCCCACTTTCACATCTCAAATTAAAAGAGCCTAACACACCTTTAATAAGAAATTGGCACAAATCTATGGGAAGATTATTCAAGGAAGTACAGTGTTAAGTCCAATTAGTAAGGAAGTCTGCACACACGTTAAAATATGACAAATATATTTTACCCAACCTTCTTGGATCAAAGTAACACAATATTCAACTAGAGTAGCATATGGATGAGATATCACAGCACCCTCTTTTAAGAAACCAACTACCACTGGTACATCTAGCTCAACAATCAATTGATTCAATTGCAAGTTCTTAATTAGTAATAAACCGTTTCAGATGCCCCAAAGCTCCGAGGCCAAGCTATTTATAGCACCAATATTTAAGACAAAACCACTAATCCATTTTTTATTAAAATCTCGAACCAAACCCCCGTGCTCAATTTGTAGACACTATCAATATAAAGAATAAAACAATTTGGTTCCAGCCACTTCCACTAGATCTATTTAGCCATGCTATTAGTAATATGCTTTAGTTCCATGGCCTGTCCAATTTCTTTAGCTAAATACTAAAACTTGTTCAATAAGTTATTAGGATATAAATTAAGTGGGTGAAAACCCACTTATTCTTACTTTTTTAAAGTTCTCACAAAGTCTGTATAAAAAATTAAACACTCTACATCATATTATCAATAATTTTAAATTTACTGTAACAATTTCTCTTTAACCATTCTTTTAAATATGAATTAAAGAAACTTGCCTCGTCAATTCTTATATGCAGCCAATATCTTCAAACCTTTCTCGCATAAACGCAATCACTAAACAAGTGTAAAACCGATTCAACACCTTGTCAACCTGTTGAATTCGCATCAACATAAAGGTGGGGCTAGCAGTAAAACCTGCATTACTCTCCCCACACCAAGTTATTTGATCTCCTTGAGGATTTGTTAAAAAAATTAAAATTACTTTTATTTCTCATAATTTACCTAAAGGGAGAAGATGCCAAATAAAATCAAATTACCATTCTCTATGGCTACAAATAAAATCAGTAACCTTTCTAAAGAGCAACTCATTATCAACAACACCAAGCGCATACCAAATATTGGAAGGTTTTTTGTGTTGGATCGTTACTACACCCCTCTTTCGCTTATTCTCTTTTTGACTTAACCATTTTTCTACTTTGATTAAAGTGATCAACTTCCTTTAAAAATAGTGGCTTTTCGATCAGTTTTTTTTAAAAAAAAATTCTCTTGATAACATATACTTTAATTATTATTTTTTAATTTTTAATAAAATATCAAATTTACAAATTTGAACTTTAAATTTTATAAAACATATATTTTTGATACTCTAAATTTATATAATATTTTAAAATATAATGATCAAAATTAAATTCGTTTGATAAAAAATCAAATAAAAATAAACAAAATATAATAAGAAAAGTAATACATTTTTATAACAATAAACAATATTAATAAGGTAATTTTGTTTTTTGGCATTGATATTAATAAGATAAGAAACTATTCATTAAAGAAAATACTAAGAATATGCATTAACGACTTATGACAAATAAAGGTTTTTCTATAGAAGAAGGATTTGCTTTTTTTAATAGTTCACTTATTGGAGCTTGAAATTTGATGATACACATGTGATAGGTGCTTGTTTCCATTAGATTATAAAATTTTATTTTCTAAAAAAAATTTAATTTATAATTTTATATAAAAAAAAGTTTGAATGAGATTCTCAGATAACACCACATGGACACATCAACAAAAGAATGCTGCATGTCAAAAGAAGTGATCAAGTTTTTCAAGTGGAGCCATCAAAAGAAAGTTGTTATAGGATTTAGCTTTACTCGGACTGCATCTGTGATAACCTGTATGGGTGATGGGTCGTAAATGGCAAGATTTGTCAAATCAAATTCTATTAGTAGTAATAACTAAGTATTGTTATATGAGGGTTTTTTTCTTTCAACTTATTTACGTGGGGTTTCAAGACTTTCCTTAGTTGGTTATTGACCAAAACAAAATTCTTGAAAATGCAATTTAAGTATTGTTTCAAAATACTAATGATAAAACCAATTATCTTAGTTATTCGCATTTTTAATGTTTTTTTTCTTATTTTTATGGTTATTTTCGTGTTTTTTTATTTATCCATTTGTTATTGTCAATTTCATTTCTTAAAAAATGATGACCATGAATTTTTATCTTTCATTCCTTTATTTACTTCATTTGTACATTCAAACATTAATTTATTATATCAAGTATTTAGTTTATTAGTTAGTGTATTATTTTCTTTCTTAATTGGTGCATGATCATTTTGCTTAAAAGAGTAAGGTTCGAATGTTATTTTCCCTAAATCCAAAAAAATAATAATTTATTATTTTCAATTTGTTATTAAAAAATTACTACTTTATCGTATAATCATAAGTAAATTACATTAAAATTTCCTATTATTATTTGAAATTTAAAATTCTTAATTATCTTATATTGATTTTCAATATTTTTTTATGTAACACCTTTATTTTATTATAAAAATTTTTAAAGTCTTTTTTAGTTTTTTTACTATTAATATTAATTTAATGAAATGAAAAATGAATATTCCAATTATTTTATTCTAAACAATTTCAAAAAAAAAAGTCTAACAAAAATAAATAAGGTAGTTAAGTGTCATATTATTAAATTTTAGGAGCAAATTTATTCCCTTTCAAATCACATGACACAAATTTACAATTATTTACCTTATAATCATTGACAATGATAGTTTGTTATCTATTCTTGGTTTACCATTTTGTTATTTTTTTCTGTTAAATAAATAAATATTATGTTTCTAATAGAGAAAATAATCATGCAATATAGCTTAATTCATACTCTCTAAACAATAGTATACAAATAAAGGCCTTCAACATTTCATAATGCTTAATTCATATTAATTTGAAATTCAAAATAATAATTTTTTTTACATAATGCTTAAAAAAACTTTTAAATTATATAAAAAAAATTTTAAAAAATTATTTTTTATTTATGTTTATTTGATTATGTCAACATAAAAGGGCCATAATATGAAAGAATCTTTATTCCATTTAATTCTTTTATTTTTCCTAAAATGGGGATAAAAGGAGCAACTTCATTTTTGAAGCAGCTTACTAAAAAAAGGCTGTCCAGGCCAAGGGCACGTTATACTTTGCCGTGCTTCCTACGGAGATGGAAACCAAAGGTCGAAACAGCCTTAAGTCCCTTTCACGTTTCTCCTCTCCGAGTCTCCTTCAAGTACAAAAGCCTACAATAAATAAACACACACCGGTGATGGCAGACTGCGTAATTTTAACCATTTCATTGCCCATTTCCTTAATCCCTTCCGCTCTTAAACTCTACTCTTTCACTGATGGACCAAAAACTCCGATTTTTCCGGCAGATTTTGTTTCTTTACCGTTAAGCTTGAACCCTAACTATTTAAGGTAACTCACTCTCCCTCTTTTTTTCTTCTTCCTTTTTAATTTCCAGATCATTTTTATTTTTGATACACTGCTGGTACAATGCGAGGAAATGTCTGAAGCAAATCTACATTTTCCCCTAAGATTTGGGTTCTTTAATTTTTCCAAGTAACCAAACAGGATCTCTCAGTATATGTACTTTCTTTACTCATTTGGTTTTGAGCAACACGTTATCCAGGCTTTCAGATCCATTCCCCGCTTGGCAAGATTAGTAATTTATTACTATTTGTTGTTGATTATATTATTAGGTAGACCATGAACCTTTTGTCTTTTTCTCACTCTTTATTATTTAAACATTCTTTGGGGTTTATTAAACTGAAGCTTATTCAGCATTATATGAATGTAGAATCTAATTTTCTTCCCCGTTTATTTATGTGGCATCATCTCATAAAACCCTTATGTCTGTTGAATGGAAGGAGATGTGATTCCAAACTAAATTTTTGCAAAAGGAGAACATGATTAAATGCTTGATAATTTGGTAACCTGACGACCATCTCTTTGTTGATTTTCTCTTGACTTTAGGAGTAAACCAATGGCTTGCTAATTTGGTATAGAATGAGAGGTTTATGCTAATAACTACTCATGCATTTTCTAGTAAGAGCATTGATGTTAAGTTGTGCTTCGTCTTCCTCCTTTAAAGGCTGGGTCAACTTAAATATTTGATTCTATTGCGACTTTGTATGCTACTTGTCCTAGCTTACTATCTTGTGCACAAAACATTGCGCTAAGCTCAACCTAACCGTGCTTCTGCAGGCCTCCTGATTTCGCTGTTTCTTTGAGTTACTTTCTTGCATGCATCGCTTGGGCCTACACATCCTATTAGTGAGTTTTTTAGTAGATACTTCATCTTAGAAAGCCTGTGCGGCTTCTTTTGTTGAAAAGGTACTAATTAGTAGTTGGAGAATATGGAAGTTCCAAGTGCAAATCATGAAATGAGGCATCGTTCATTGACCCTGCTAAGGGTGTTTAGGGGTCTAATATGTTTGCTAGTGCTGCTTTCAACGGCTTTTATGATGATAGTGTATTGTGGCTTTCTTACCACTGTTATATTGAGGCTTTTCAGCATACATTACAGTCGGAAAGCAACTTCTTTCTTCTTTAGTGCTTGGCTAGCTTTATGGCCCTTTTTGTTTGAGAAAATAAATAAAACAAAAGTCATTTTTTCTGGAGATGATGTTCCTCCAAGGGAACGCGTTTTGCTTATTTGCAACCACAGAACTGAGGTTGACTGGATGTACTTGTGGGACTTTGCACTGCGGAAAGGTTGCCTGGGATGCATAAAGTATATCCTTAAGAGCAGCTTGATGAAATTACCTGTATTTGGTTGGGCTTTCCATATTTTAGAGTTCATCCCTGTGGAAAGGAAGTGGGAGGTTGATGAATCTAACATGCGCCGCATGCTTTCAACATTCAAAGATCCTCAAGATCCTCTCTGGCTTGTTCTCTTTCCCGAAGGAACAGATTTCACGTAATTTCCATTTTCTTTTAGGTGTTATATTTCTCTATTGTCTTTAATATTTCCATGTTTGTCATCTTTTATGTGAAAACCTGGTGTATGGAGAAAATCGATTACTAGTTTTCCTGCTTGTGGGGATCTGCATGATTTTCTTCTATAGCATAGTAGCATACTGTGTGCCTTAATGAATTCTTTGTTGCTACCCTTGATCAAGTGCATTAATCCATTAATTATTCTTTTTCTTTTTCAATGCAGTGAGCAAAAATGCTTAAGAAGTCAAAAATATGCAGCTGAAAATGGCTTACCTATCCTGAAGCATTTGCTGCTTCCAAAATCAAAGGGCTTTTATGCCTGCTTGGAAGATTTGAGGAGCTCTTTGGATGCAGGTCGTTTTTCTTCTTTATGCTTGTGTCTTTTAAGAAGTTCATTTCCTGTGGATCTGTTTGTTCAAACTTTTTATAAATTAATGTTTTCTCCTTTGATATAGCCTTACTGGGAGATGAAGTATAATAGGACTCTTCTAGCTCATACTTCCATATGTTGTTGTATAGAGTGCTTTAACAGTGGCAAAAACTAAGTTACTCTATCCATTTTTTTTCCCTGGAGTAACCTAATAAACTTTCTATTAATGAATGAAATGGAGTCAACAGGACAGGTGACCTGTTTGCTTGCATAACTATGACCTTATAAAGATTATTAGTTGTATTTTCTATTCAGTTCAGACTTTTTATTTCTTTTTCCCCCTTTCCTTCCAATCTCACTACCTAAACTAAGGTCACTAGTTGCTAGACATCAGCCAAACTTCGCACAGCTTAGAGAAGCCTGATAACCATTTACAAAAGGTTGCTAGAGCTGGTCAAGTTTTTCGTATCGGACCTATCTTGTTTTTATTTTCAGATAAAGAAAGAGCAAACTATATAGAGAGTTCCTAAACTCTTGCAAGACAAATATAACATGAACTTCTATTGTCTGTAAGGATATGACAAAAGGGAAATCGAGGAGTAAAAATGAAGTGCATATAAAATCTGATTATATGTTGCCGTTAGCAGTGATAAGTTTGTAACCCGTAACAGGTCAAACATCAGTACTCAATTCATTATGGACATTGAGAAACCTGAAAGGTGCCTGACCTATGGTGCTATGCACACATTTAAAAATGTGGTTTAGAGAGGAATAAACCCCTCTGTTGACTCCAATAAGGCAGAAAGCAGGGCTCATGATTACCCCAGTTGTTCAATTTTTATAATTCGTTTGGTTCATATGAGAATGCTTGCATAGTTTTCATCTGATATATAAATCTTTTAAGTTTGGTCACTTCTCTTTTACAAATTTCACTACTCCTTTTCATGAGATATTTGTTTGTTTCCACTGCAGTTTATGATGTGACCATTGGATATAAGCATTGCTGCCCATCCTTCTTGGACAATGTCTTCGGGGTGGACCCTTCTGAAGTTCATATTCACATCAGACGCATTACCCTGGATGACATTCCAATATCTGAAACGGAGGTAACTGCTTGGTTAATGGATACATTTCAACATAAAGATCAATTGCTTTCTAATTTCAAGTCTGAAGGTTATTTCCCTCGGCAAGGACCGGAAGTAAACCTCTCTGCAGCAAAGTGCGTTGTAAATGTTATGCTGGTGCTTTTCTTGACTAGTGCATGCACGTTTTTCACCATTGTCTCATCCATTTGGTTTAAGATATTTGTTTCTTTATCTTGTGCCTATATGACTTCTGCGACTTATTTCAACACCCGTCCAGTACCGGTCTTCAGCCTTGTGAAAACTTGTGTTTAATCCTATTTCCTTCCGAGTATTTAAAGGCAATCATAATGACTATTCATTCATTAGCAGCATAAAGTGCTTGCCGGCAAACTTTATTTGGCATGACTTCCAGCATCACCTGAATGATGGAGCTATGTTTGTGTTGAGAGCTTACATAGCCTGTACCTCTCTGGTTATGCTACCTGTTATGGAGAATCTGTCCGGTAGTCGAATTCTCTAGTATGAACATATATTCAGATGTCAATGTTGTTGTAAGGGTTATACATTATGCACAATAATGTAGAACTTTAGGTTCAAATGTTCAATAACTGTATGAAATGTCTAATAAAAATCTAAGAAAAGTTTGGCAAATGGTTTGTCATTCATTTAAATCATCAATAAAGGCCTTTTTTATTTCCATGAATTTCGCTTACTCTTATATGGTTGATATTGTGTTACCGGCCTCGTGATTGTGATCAGCCAACTTATTTGGCCAAGACAATCTTGTGAAATTATTTGGAAATCTTTTGTACCAATTCGTCTCTCTTTAATTAATCTCATGTCATCATAAATCTAGAATCTCTAATTCTGATGAGACGTATCCATTTGCCTACTCGTCTATTGCATCCATTGCCTTGGGATCCTTCTCTGTTCTTTGCTACTACCAAGTTCTGAACTGATGAGAAGGTCTTTAAAAGAAACTGGATAGTCTATCATTGGCATCTCAAATGGTATCTGCGTGATCCGAAAATTTTGTGCAGATTGAGAAAGCAAATAGAAAAATCCACTACGACTGCAATGAAGTCGAGAATAAATGGCCAACCACCTTACTTTAAGCTAAAAAAACTCATGGGTTCTTGCTTTATCTTGAGAGAGCATTCGCAGGAGTATCCCAAACTCGTATTGAAATTAAAAACTCTTCACCAAACAAAAGTCAACACCAGAATTTAATCAATCTATTTTTGCCATTTAAAGTCGTGGCAATGATTTAGCAAACATGTGGCGTAATTGTTATGATTGATTGTTGAGTGAGGATTTGCCATCAATGGGTGGGGTCACAGCGTGACAATCATACAGATGACACAGGATAAACCTAATCCTCATAAATGTAATTCAAGCCTATACCATGAATTTTCAACCCCAGTGGCCATACCCGCTTGCTTGGCTAGTGAAAATGGCGTTATGCCTCACTCGACACGCAGTCAAAGTTAGGCTGAATGAAGGGGAAAAAGAGTGTGTTCTAGAAAGGGAGATTTTCAGAGGAGGCATCGCAACAAAATTAGTAGGCAGGTTTCGGGTTGATAATACGGTACAAGACCATGAGAATATGAAGTCAAGCTAATTTATAGTCGGAGATGGCAAGCTTATCTGTTTTGACAATAATGAAAGCGTGAAACAGACCTTTAAAATAAAAATGTGTAATCCAATAATTACATTGAATAAAAGAACATTTCGAAAACGGAAAACAACAGTATCTGTGACCTAAACAAATAAAGGGCATGACGTAAGTCAACACTAGTCTTGGATTATTTTCTTAGAACACATGAACCAGAACAAACATGCAGATGTAGAGTCTGAAAACAGAATGTTGGAAATCAATCGATATCATCATTTTTGTTGTTGTTGTTGTTGTCAACATCGTCAGCATCGAATGGAGCAGGTAAATTTCCAGGACTTAACAACAGGGACCTCAATATTTTCAGTTGTTGGGATGTTTTATGATCCTCTGCAGAACCACGGTCCTTGCTCTCCTTATATCCCGGCTACAGATATCAGCTTGTTGCCCCAAATCCTCCACATTCTTCATAAACACTCCCAGCTTCTTTTTGATTTCGTCTATCCCAATCTTCACAGCTTCTTCCTCAATTGCAAACTCTGCATTTTGCAAGAGGGCTCCAATATCAATCTCCAACCGGTCAATGAGAACCCGGATGTTATCCAGGTCTTTAATAGACACATATGTCCCTGCTTGCATTGAGCTTATCACTTCCTTCTGTCCTTTCAAGGCATTTTCATAGTTTTTCCAGAGGGAATCAATCCACTTCCCCATTGAACCCAAAGGAATAGAAGTTGCAGCAGCGAGAGCTGCAGCAACTGGAGGAGCAGCCATTGCGGCTGCCACAACTGAACAAATCAACACAGTAGCAAATGTGGCAACAAATATCATACTTGAGACCTTACGCCAAGCATGAATGTACTTGAGCTTCTTGTCAAGCTTGTTCTTTCGAAGTTGCAATTTGTCGAGCATTGCTATTTGCTGCCTGTAAACAGATTGAAAGATTTGAAAGAACTCCTCAGTGAAAGGATCACCAGCTGCCTTGAAATTCTTCAGTTCTTCCGATGTTCTCACATACCTACTCCCACCAACCTCACTTTCTTCCTCGAATTGTTGTAACGCAACAAGGATAAGCAATTGGCTGTCACGAGCACGCTTCAGGCACTTCTCTAGTGCAGAACAAAAATCAAGAGTTTGCAAGCTATTCTCAAAATACTCTTCCACAAGCTCAAACAATTCTTGACTCTTCCATATATCTTTCTTGCATTCTAAGATAACTTTAACAACCTCTTGATTCATCTCCAGAAGACATTCGGTTACCTCTTTCAGAGAATCAAATGAAAGAGCTCGGACTTCGACACCAACTGCCAGAGTGTTGATGACTTGATTGGTTCGAGCTTGGACGTTAGTGTCAAAGGTTTGCAAGTCCGTGTCTAGCTTGCAAGCAGCTTCATAGGAGCTCAATTCAGTTGTGTACGGTAAATTGCCACTAAGATTGATCGTTGATGATGTTTCAGATGTCTTCTTGCTCGTATGATTTCCCATAGTTCTGTCAGATCAGATCTAAGCAGGGAAAAAAATAAAATAAAAAATCAAATCTAAATTCAATTCAGCACCTTCTCCAACCCCTGAGCTTGAAATCTGGTTGAGAAAGTTTGAATCTTTTTAATGACAAAAGGCCACTGCTTTATCAAAGAGATTATGAACAGATGAGCAGAAATATGGAAAAGGAGATTCTTACACCAGAAAATACACATATGATACAACAAACCGGAACACGACCTCTACTTTACCAAAGTAAACCGCCCCACTCAAGAAAAAATCATTAGGATCTTGAACACTTGTTAACTTTTAAGAACCCAAATAGAGAACAAGGAGGAGGGAGGTTTGAATCCTATCAGAAGAGAAACACTGCCATTAACAGGAAAGAAAATGAGGCAGAAAAGTTGATGGGTTTTCTTGAAAACTAAGAAAGTAAGCAACAAAAAGCAATTAGTGGCGGATATGAGAGAGAAAATGAAGGAGAGGCGAGCGAGAGATTGAAGAAGCTTAAAGAGACTCAAAACCGTTAAGAACCAAGAGATTAGAAAGAGAAAGAATAAAAAAAGAGAGCTTTTGACGAGGAGGGGAGCTCTTTTTTTTTTTGTTTTTCCTTTAAATTTTAAAGAGATTTCAGAATAACTTGCACGCATGAGAAAAATGAGGATTGGGACATGGAAAACGCGGGAAGCAATGTATGTGCATTCCTTTCTCTTTCTCTCTCTATCTCTAAAAGCTCTTCTGTTTACAGTTTCAACGCGCAAAGCAAAGGTTACCCAAGGAAAAGGGGAGAGCTTTGCTTTGCTTTGCTTTGCTATTGCTATTGCTAAGCCTACATGAGCACAATGCGAAGAAAGAGAAGTTGCAAAACATAAATATTTTAAAAAGCTTTGATCTTTTTTTTTTTAGGAATAAAAAAATGATGCAATGTTTGGAGACAGGAGGCTTAAGCTCCAAGATTGAAGGAGACATTTGATTCGAACAAGACTACAAGTCTTTTTATTTGGAAAAATACAAAACTTTTGTTTGAATCTGGTTCACCCAAAGTCTGCTGCACTTCTTTTTGTAAAATTACCGTTATACCCATTTTAACTTGTCCTTGCAATTTGCTTTTTGACTGACCTACTCTTTATATTTTTCTAAGGTAAATTTTAATAAATAAGATTTCAAGTTTCACATTTGGCAATTTGAAATAAACTTATAAACACTTATCTTGTATTATTTGATCTAATTAAGTAATATTAAGATACTTTATAATTAAAGTACAAATTATTACCCAATACAAATTTGAAATAAAAAAAATTTAAAAATTAAGGGAGTATCTTATTTTTTTAACATCTCTATTAATAATTTACTAGGTCATATAGATAAAAGGGTTGTAAAGACAATAGAGACAGTGTCTTTGATTTTTTAATTCCCTTTTTCTCTTCACATTTTTTAACAAATTAAAAGGAAGCTTTGGCAAAAAAAAAAAAAGAGGAGATTTTTTAATGTTGCAAGATCCTAATATAATAGCTTTAACAAATAAGAAAAAAGTGTGCATAAGATAAGATGAAAAAGGTGTTTCTTATGCAAAAAATTCAGCTGAAAATTGCTTAAGAGTACCTAATATAGTACTGAATTTGTTCTTTAAATGTGCTGGTCTTTGTTTGTCTAGGAAAGGCATAAAATCTTAGAAAAATCATTAGCTTTCTTTTTGGCACACAAGATGGAAGAATTGAAGAAATCAAGCATTAGCATAATACAATCTCTTTTCACTTTTTTTAAAATAATTTTATTAACACTAAATCATCGTACCAATCAAAATCTCTAACACTATTTTTTCTTTTTTTGGCATTTTAAGTCTGATTGAGAAGAAAATTAAGAAAGAAACATACCTTCTTGTTGTTGGGTTCCTAGTCGATTCGTTGATCAGAGCAACTCTATTCTTTTGCCGAGTAAAGCTCAGTATTATTTTTTCTGAGTCCTAATTGAGTTCACCGAATGGAGAGTAAGTTCAGAGTTTTATTGACAAACCCTCGATATTTAATGAATGCTGCCTTTGATAGTTGAATGTTTATTTATACTAAATGGAAACTTGCTTACCAAGACATTTTTCGAAAATTATGAGAATGTTCCTATCACACCTATTACTGATTTATTAATTCTCTTGAAATTGCAATTATGTAATTTAACATTTATCAATTTTGGTACGAATTTGGAATTTGGAATTTGGCTTAAAATACCACTTATCTAAACAAAATGAGAATAACATACGTGATTGTCTAGTTATTCCAATGGCGTTTTCTGAGAAAAGGGACTGGGTGAGACTCATTCTAGAACCAGCAAAAGCCGAGCGAGGAGCAAAGCCAGCGGTAATCTGGTGACGGTTGCGCCTGTGCTTCGAGCGAAATATAGGTTTTAAACCGGTTTCGCGATGAAATCAACACGTGGCGTAAACATAGTGGTTGCCGCCATCGCTCGATTTCAAAAAATTGGAAATTGATTCCACGCCACGTCACAAAAGACGGAGATGCTTGGCGTCACGTGCTCCGTAACGGTCCCCGCTCCTCTTTGCTTTTCTTCCCAAGCCACGTGATTCTTCTTCTCCTTTGTCAAAAGAAAATGTGATCTAATCCTCAACTTCTCCTTCTCAGCACAGATCGAATCCTCGTCCTTCTTAGAGGTTTAACACGTCTTTCAACTGTGAACAAAAAAAAAAAAAAGAAGCTTTGAGATAAGGAAACCTTAACCGAGAAGCAAACCGCTTTAGTTTTTTTAGTAAATAATGGTAGCTAATTGTTTTGTGAGTTCATACTAGAAAGAAAAGATCGAAATTAATTTATAAAAGTTTTTATTTTTTCAAGTGGAACAAAAATGAAAAATATCAAATGGAGCATTAATTGGTAATATTTTTACCAAATTCAATTCCAAAAATCATTTAAATAAAAATAGATAACAAATTGCTTTGACGATTTCTATCATTTTATGTTTGATTCCTAAAATAAATAATGATAATCAATTTTTGATTAGATACTTAATAAGTTCATATAGAGAATGAAAATTACACGATATTTTAATTAGAATTGATCAAATTTGATACGTGTTATTTTTGTGTACTAATAACTTGACTTGAATATCATGATTTTGATATAAAAAAATGATTGAATTGAATAATTTCACACGATATGTACTACAACTACATATAATTATTTTTAATTAAGCCTAATGATTAGAAGAAGACTGTATAATTAGTTAAGGATTAGTAGATTATGATGAGAGCCCATTCCGTTTTGAGGATAGACACTTAAGTTAGAGAGATGTCACACTCTTCTATCAACCGATTGCTTATTGTGAGTTGGTCAATGATATCTTCAGACTAAAGTAAAATAAATTAGTTGGACTTTCTTGCTGCCATTTGTCCTTTGGCTGCCTTAATTAGCCAGTTTCTCATGCCAAATGGATAAAATCATACAGAAGATAAAAACCAATAAATCTGGGAGGGTCGTGTGAGTGTGTGTGTATATATACAAAAAGGGTACACTCAAAAAATCAGGTAAACTTTGCATTAAATGGCCTCCAATTTGTTTAGTGCACATAATAATAAGGTGTGTGATATTACAAAGAGTGTACGTAAAAAAAGTGTAGGGCAAGGACAAACTTGCAATCAAGCTAACCAGCTCAATTTGATATATAATTCGGCTATATATATATATATAAATATAATTTGCTGTATAGCTAGCTGTTATATAGTATATAGTTGGATAGACACTATTGCTTAATTAATTGAGCGAATTAAATGTGTATGAAAATTTATCAAAGGCTTGAAATATAACTAAGCATGACCCTTTTATGTCACAATTATTTACAACAACAAAAACCCATGAAATGAAAGTAGAAAAGAAAGAGAAATATGAAGGGTTTTCAATATTCATCCATTGGAAACGAACAAATTAAGAAGAAAAGAGAAAGTCAGCAAATGGGGTCTTTGATCGATAAGGATCAAAAAAGGTCTTTGAGTGTTTAAGAAAATGAGTTTACGTAACCTTAAATCCAAAAAAATTTGATTCTGAGTCGAGAGAAGTAAAGGGTGAAGTATATATGTATATTATACTAACAATAAGTTGATGGACGTCTCAGCTGAGGTCTGGCGGGCACATAAATCCAGCAGTAGGCCAAGGGCAAGGGCAAGGGGCGGTGCCAAAAGCTTCAACGTTTTTCTTGTGCGCGTAACCGCCCTTACCCTAGCTAGCTAACTACTTGCACACGCCACAGAGAATTCGACTGATGAATGTTTTGTATTCAAAAACCTTAGTTGCACTCAACATGGAATTCTTCTGATACATTCATTTTACGTTTATTTTTTCACAATGATATCATATCGCTTTTGAGATGTATTTAGACAGAAAAAGGGTTATACGTTGAACCTAACTCGATCCTCTGTGTATCAAATATGACATGACTTGAATAGCTAGTTTTCTTCTGTGAGCAGAAAAGGTTTGTATTGCTTCTTTGATATGCTTTGGGGGCTCATATTGGACCGGTGGATCAATTGTATCAAGCCCGCCCCAAGCTTCTTTCGTTTTAATTAGACTGACTTTTGGCTCAGAATTTCTACTCTAACCCGAAGTTTAAGATCTGCTTATTGTTCAAGTTCATCAAGATTTGGCTTGGTTTGAAATCGAGCTTAATAATTGAAACTCGACTATCCTTTTATGATGCTGAGAGACAGAAAGGAGTGTACGGTAGTATCATTTTATTAGAAAATAAATAGTAGAATCCCTTAATGCTGCGGGCAAGTTTTTGTACTCATGTCCATAACATATATGTAGAGTTTCCCTGTCTTGTCCAACTCCTATGCCATTGCAAGAGACTGTTTCCATTTTCTACGTTTATTCGTTGAAGCGTTTTGATAGTCTGGACGTTGTATTTATTATTATAACGACAATGGCAACATTATTGGATTGGATTCAGCTTTGACCCATTGTTTTGAGAAGAAGAGCCAAAATATGGCCTTGTTTTTGGTATTTGGATCACATGCTGCTCCCTTTAACTATACAAGTATAAACTAGATTCGGATAAATTCCCCACAACAAACAGACCCTTTGCACCTCCAATGTTTGCCCGTGAACCAATGGCCCATAGTAACGCCAATTTGCCAACTCCTATATGTCACGAGCGTTCACCATCTTCTGCCCTTCCAAGTCATCAACCCCATGCAAAAACTATATGTCAATAGTTTGAATCTTCGACGAGGATTTGATAAGATCACTTCTTTGGTCAATATTCTCAATACATAATTCATCTGAAAAGACCAAACAGTCCCTTTAGAAAGTGGTTCGTTGGTTTTGGGGGAGTTATTCTCTATATAAGGACTAACCCTCTTTCTCTCTCGGAGCCATTCCAAGGAAAGAAATTAGAAGCAATATAAATAAGAGTGTTGTTGAGAGAGAAATGGAGGGACATGCTAAGATTGTTCTAGTGGCAATGGTGCTAGGTTTAGCCATTGTGTCTGAACCCTTCGTTGCAAATGGTCAAAAAGTCTGTGGCATGAGCAAAGAGGGTTTCCAGGCATGTGAACCGAGCGTGAGCAGTGCAAATCCTCATCCTCCGTCCCCTTCACCTGCATGTTGCATGGCTTTAAACGATGCTGACCTGCAATGCTTTTGTTTCTTCAAGAATTCCAAGATGTTGAATGCTTATGGAATCGATTTCGATCGCGCCACTGCTCTCCCCATACAATGCAATTTGGTCAAATCTTTCCATTGCTAGAATGTGTGAATGCCTTGCCTGGATGAGTCTTCCTCTTGTTGTTCTAGTCGTGTTTGCAATTTGTTTTTGGTGTGTTGCTTCTTCTTTTTTTTTTTTTGAAAAGCTTTTGGTGTGTTGCCATCCGGTGTGATATTCTCCTTTCCAAACTTTATTAAGTTGCAATGTAATAATAACGTTCTTAATTATGGAAAATGAATGTTCTGCTTCTCTATAATTAATCAATATTCTTGGCCATGGTACACCACACCCCATACATATAGTTTTTCCTAAATTTTATGGACATCGGCTATCATTTAATAAAGAATAAGTGTTTTTTTTCACATGATATACTTGTATTAATATATATATATATATATAGTGATATTTGAACTTTCATTTGGTTAATCAAAATATTTTATTGTCTAACTCTAATAGCAAATCTCAATTATGTGTCATATATACATCCGATCAGAACATATCATTTGTCTAAAAAAGTTCTATATATGTCATATTTGAGGTCTATACGTCAGTATATGATGCAAGACATTCTTGCATTGGTTAAAAATTTATAAATTATTTCAATTAATTTGATAAAAGAAAATATCTCAACTAAAAGGGCCATCGTTTGCCTTTCAAAGTGGTATTCATTTAACTACTGTCATATAAGTTTCAACGTGGGAAATAATCAAATCCAATAAATTTCTTTTGTTAATTGAATCCTTATGCTTAGATGTATCTCTTTGTTAATTTCTTTTGTTAAGTTACAATGCCAAACCCAACAGCTTCAGCTGATTCAAAGACGCATGGCTCATACACACTTTCAAGCTAGTTATATAAAGCATGGTTGATCATCTCTTTCACCTTCCCCATTTCTTTTTTACCTTAATGTTTTCAAACTATATTATACAAAATCCTAACTCCTTATATTATATATATATATATATATATATGTTGTGATTTAGTTGTAGTAATTAAATCATTTTTTTAGATTATGGTATAGAAAAATTGACATAAACACCGTAACATGGACCTAATTATTAAAAATATTGCACAAATTAATATGGAGACTTGAATGGATTTAATTATGTAGAACAAGTTATTTGGGCTCATAATTGCTTATAGATGGGCCAAAAACATGAAAAGAAAAATGAAAAGGGCAAGAATAGAAAATTGGAGCAAAATGAGGGGCAGAAACATAAAAACAAGAAGCCCAGTTGTTGGCTATTGTCGGCTAGGGTTTTTGGTCCACTTCATCAAGTACACATTATAAATAAGATGAGGTAAAACCTAAGCCGAAACTGAAAACAAAAACCACTTTCTATTCATCGTTTAATATCTTTCTTGCAGTTTTTTTCTTCTTTTTATTTTTTGTTTCAAGTTTAATAGGGGCTGGCCTTCATAATCCCAAACAAGCTGAATGCAAAGGTGCTTATTTGATTCATGGGAGGCCAAAAGCAAAATGTGGGGGGTTTCGCTGATGACGCCTTTTACTTCTTTTCTTTACTTGGAAGGCGTTTATTAGTAACGTCGCCATACATTATTAACGTTAATAGTTCTCACATTCTCTTTATTATGGTATTTTTATAGTCTTCTTAATTACTCCATAAAACGTACCATGTTTTTTTTTTTTTTAATTTTTTTTCCTGGCCAATATATTTGATTAAAAATGCCTATATAATATTTAACTGGCTCGGGTTCATTCAAGTGGATGATGCAACAAAGGGTATATTTTTGCTTCAACACCGCAGGGGAAAAGATAAGAAGAAACCCTGACCAAATTCCCTTGCACAGAAAAATGTAAAAAGAAACAAGGAAGGTTGGGGTTTGGCTTCTGTTTTAGTCATATTTTTCCTTCGGATATGCTAATAGTAACAGACAAGATGGGCCTTAACCATCTATGGATTTTCAGTTCACACCCAAAGAAAGAAAGAAAAGAAGAAAAAAGAAGAAGAATTAGGCTTAAAAATGCATGACGCTACAAATAAAATTCCAAATTAACTGCCCACTGAGGACATTTGTAGGATTTCAAGCCCGTCTCTACAAGCTCAATGTTTGAAAATGGTTAGTACAAGTTTTAAAGCATGGAGCGTTCCCAATATTAAGAAAATCAATTTAATAACTTTTATATTTAAATGACAAAAAATGTCACATCCTTTCTTTTTTTTTTCTTTTTTCTGGAGAATTAAATCATTTACCAATGCACGTATTGATAAATTGCCTCTAAAACTGAAAAAACAATTCTTCTGGTGTGTGTTTTCAGCTTATCCAGCAATCAAGTAAGCTACTGTTGTCATGTAGGTTTTACCAAAAACAACTTTCTAACCAGATGAGTGGAATCACTTTGGGAATCATATAAAATAATAATCTGAAAATTTGTAACGCAGGGAAAATGATATCAGTCAAGGCATCTTCCCTAACAACTCAACGACATTATGCATCAAAACTCTAAACATTTGTATCATATCATTGTTCACTCAAAAATTTCGAATCCAACAGTCCGGAGCCTGCATGCTAGGAATGTTAACAGTCTACTTGCTGTATAGATGGACAAAGGAGAAGATCAAGAATCCTGCCATCTGCATCAAAAACCATATCAAAAGTTAACAATACCATAATATGCACTTCTCAGAGAAACAGAGGCACATTAATGATGGTGATGATGATAATTTTATATACAAAAATAACTTGCAGTAAACACTTTAGCAATTATTTCAAACAGTTATCCCTCTAAAACCTCCAATCCATAGGATTTGTTTTTGCAATAGGAAATGAAACGATTTGTGACAATTATTTCCAACGGTTATCCCTCTAAAACCTCCAATCCATAGGATTTGTTTTTGCAATAGGAAATGAATGATTTGCTTATATAAAGTTAGGATAAAATACTCTTATTTTTAAATTTTGATCGAAATTACACAGAAATCTATTAATTTTTGAAACACGACACTCTATCCCAAGAATACAAACACCATTAACAGAAATTATAAAAAGACTAAAATGCTATTTTTTTCTTTGTTAATTTAAAAAATTATTATTATATTTTAAAAAAAAAATAATTAAAAAAAGCTCCCCCAGAAAGGAGAGCACTGATCAGCGTTCTCAAGGGAGGGGAGGACCGATGGTCCCTAGAGGAGCTTTTCTTTTTTTTTCAATTAATAAAAAATAAAAATAAAATTATACCATAATACTTTTAAAAATGAATCAAGGGTAAAATTATTTTTTTACCCTTGCCACATCATCGAGTTGACGAAAACACTAACGGTTAACTAACGATAGAATCTACGTGCCTAGCAAAAAATAATTTTTTAAAGAGTGTTCATTTTGAAAACTATTGGACTTCTGTGTAATTTCGATCAAAATTTAAAGAAGTACAACTATTTTACCCATAAAGTTAACAAGGCGGGAGAGAGTGCATGAGAGTTATACCATAGAAAATGCAGCTCCATAGTAGGGATAAGCAGTTGGTATGAATCTTTCATATTCATTGTGTCTATATGGCCTGACTGGAATCTGCAATGCAATGTATCAAAATGTATTGATAAATGGGAATGGCACAACAAAATAAGAAATTCTATGAATAGAAAAACCCACAAAAGCAATGGATCCACAAAGGCCATTAACTATAACAATATTTAAGTTTTTGAGCCAATTAATTAAGTAGTAAATATCCTACCAATAAAATATCCCCAAAGGCCAATTAATTAAGAAGTAAATATCCACCAAGGCCATTACCGATCTTTTATGAATTTTAACTTCCATTACAAGTTTCCATAAAATAAAATCAGATTACTAGCACGAAAGTTGGGTCTCAAGAAAGAAATTTGATAGACAATATCATAAACCATGAAAAACAAAATTAGATACCTGCTTTGAAAGGGATAAACTTGTGTACCCAAGCTTTTGGTACTCAACCTTGAATTGGAAAACACCATAAACATCTGGTACCATAAATGATGTGGAATAGAGACCCTGTAGGACCACCAGAATGAACCAGAATTTTTATTTGGATGACTTCATTTTTATAGGAAGCAGATACTTTTCTTGTGGCCAAAAACAAGAGGAAACCGATTTCACATACTATAAGAGCTCAAGAGACAATTAGCATACCTTTTTGTTATTCAATAAAGTTTTCAACACATAAGGGCTCATCATGTAAAACTGCACTTGGACATCATCATCAACGTATGGCTCCCAGCTTGTTCCAGACCACTCATAGATCTCAACTGAGTATTCCTTCATAAAACAACACGCATTTCTTTTCAGTTAAATTTCTACAAAATAATACTGTATCAAAATATATAAGGTCGAAAAATTACCAATTCATCATTGATCCTGTATAAAGCAGGTTCATCTGTTTCTCCAACTTTGTGGTGTTTTACATTTACAGCCTAAAGACCAAAACATGAGTTAAATTCATGCTGAATATAACCATACATAAAAAACCAAGCAGATGCCTCAAAATCATGCAGTAACAGAGGCGTAAGATATTTATAGTGACAAAATTGATCACATGCCTACCTTAAGATGACCTCTTTCATGGAAAACCCATTTGCTAAGTTCAGTCAAAAACTGCTCATTACCCGATTTCTCATGTCTGCCATCAGAAAGAACATTTCTGAAATATGTCTTGTTTTGAGCACATCAGTTAAACAACATTCCTAAAATGCACACAGGCGAATGTGCAAGGACATATACAAAGTTAATTGCAAATTTGGAAATGCAGCTGGTACCATCCTTCAGAGGATAAGAAAAACCATATAAAATCTGCAGCTTTAAAATGGACTTCATATGATGATTTCAAGGCAGCCTAAAAACTAGTTTATGTGTTTCGTTCTATTTATTCAAAATGGATTGCTGCTGATTTGTTTAAGATTTCTCAGTGTCTTATATTGAAAGGGTGTTTAGGGTTACAGAATGGATTGCTGCTGATTTGTTTGAGATTTCTCAGTGTCTTATATTGAAAGGGTATTTAGGGAGTTACATATTCACTCACTTGATTGGGCTCCCAGCCTTCTGCACATCAGATCTGAAAAATCTGAAAACATGTAAACAGTTCGTCAAGAAACATGACAGGTTATTAAGGTCAAAATCAAAAGGAAAAACAATTATCAAGGAAGCAATCAGTTAAAAAATAACATACTGCATACCGATTGCTGAACATACTTAGTGAGCCACTAATCAGAATCCGCGCATTGTTTCTTGCCTAAAAGAAGAAATAAAAAATCATAACTTATTCATTTGAACAGCTTGCTATATTTGAGTCAGAACACACTAAGCTTCTTTCATTCACATTGTGCAAAACTATCTTAAAATAAGAAGGAAACAATAAAGGTTTCATGATATAGGTATGCAGAAGATATATGAACAGTTGAGTATTGACCAACCTGCACAACTGAGACAAAGGAGATAGCAGAACCAGTCAATGATGGTGGAGTTGACAGCTTGGACTTGGGATTAGCTGAATAGGCAGCTGGAGAAGCTGAGAGAACTTTTAATACCTAAAAAGATTATTGCGGTCAGTAAAAAATCGACATATCTGTTCTTTAAATTCTTGCAAACCAGATGCAAGCAGCTTACCAAGCTATTGGAAGGATTCAATGAATGGCCAATGCCCTGGAAAAGTACGGGAGCCTGTGACAAGTTTAACAAAAACTAATCAGATATGAAAACTATTATCCCTGAAACCATGACCAATCATAACATACAATGAGCTTCAGACAATACATCAGTATCCATTTAAGCTCATAAAATGCGTAGCTATTTTGAAATGGGTATGAATAAAGAATGTCCTTAGTAATATTGTATTACTACATTGGAAATCATCACATTAACTGCCAACTACTACATTAAATTACAAGAATATTACTATAAATAGTATCTTAACTAACCTTAAAGAGTGCCCTAAGGCACGCATTGGCAAACCCTTTTAAATAACATATTCAAAGGTGATAGGCAAGTGGCTCCAGGCCATCAATGCAGTTTAACAACCTAGAAAATGTCTCAAGCAAAGTGTACTGGTTGTACCATTTTAGCATGACCAAAATGACCTCAAATTATCAGATTAAAGCTTGGGACAACGATCAACACTTGCCCATAATATTATATAGAACCTAATAAGAGAACTACAACTGACAATGCTGGCATTTGTACTTACATCAATTTTCTTACTTCCTAAGATCACATCGGACTTAATAAAATCATCAGCAGCAATCAACGTATGATCTTCCTGTTGCTGAAACCGCATAGCTAGTGTGATCAATAACCAAAGCCGAAGGATCCTATAGAGAAAACAAGGAAGCTAAAATGAACAATCACGTGAAGCAATAACAAAGAATGAGCTGCAAACTAGAGAATATAATTACGCAATCTGACCTCATCAAAATCAACACCACATTCAGTAGCAACTTCCCGAATCAAATCAGAAGCATTAGCATCGGCAGCAATAATCAAATCATGACCAGAATCAACAAAATTGATAATAGCGGCAAGATCAATAGATCCTCCAACACCTAATTAAACAAAAACATAACGAGTAAAAACGACAATGCATTAGCAAGAAAAACAAAATGGAAATAATTCATTTAAATAATTAAAATAAAGAGAAAGAAAATGTGAAATATTTACGTTCAATGGAGGGGCAGAAGAGGATCAAGGCATCATAGAGAGTATTGGCCATAGCGTGCAAGGCGATCTTTGGATCATCGGCGAGTTTGAAGTCGAGGTCAAAGCGCCGCGTGATTGAGGGAGTTGAAGTAGAGGGAGTGAGACGATTGATGGCGAAATCGTCGAGAAGGACCAGGACTCGGCGATCTGTCGGAGTCTCGGAGAGAAAGAATTGCAGAGAAATGGAGACTGATCGAAATCGAAGCAACAAAAATCACCCACAATTTCCCCATTTTTGGGACTAGGGTTTTTAGTACGAAGTGAGTAAGGGTTCGGCAGATTCAGGAATCTACTACTACTACTACTATTCCACTGAACCTGAATTTTTCCTTTATTTTCATTAATGATGACTCCGGGATATTGATTTTTTTTTTTACTTTTTGCAAAAATTACAAAAATTACCCTGAAATTTGATCGGTATTACACTACTTACTACAAATTTTCACTTTATCCACAAATTAAAAATGTCAAAAAGAAATTAAAATTTGAAATTTCAAAATGCAAAATTGGAAGGAAAAAACAACAAGTGGAAAACTGACGCCACATCACCAAATTTAGCACGGCTCTCGCTGTGGAATCTGGTGTGGCCAGGCTACCTTCTATTTTATGTACTTGCTTCCACCGCCACCCGTAAACTTCCATCATTTGACCATGATGTAAACTCAATAGGCACAGTTCACTAAGGTTTGCGTGGCAACCTCCTATTGGCGGTACTGACCAAGCGTAGAGTTAAAAAAAACGGTGCAGAGCAGGGAAACGGAAAATCCCGCTCCCTAGTCGAAAGCGAGTGAAACCAAAAGTTGATGACGATAATTGACCCCGTGAGGAAATACCCAAAACAAAAAAGGAAATTCTATTTTCTTTTTATTTTCTTTTATCTATATATAACTCTTGCTTACGCTGTCAGATTCCTTATTAGCTCTCAATTTATTTGCTGCAAAAGCCCTTTGCTTGTACTTTCACCAGGTAAAAACGACCAGCCCGATCCGCGTCTTATCGTTTGTATGTTTACGTTTCTCTTTGTTGGATTCAAAAAGCTTTTTCTTAATTGGAATTTGGATTTGCTTTGTTTTCTTGGGGTGTTCGTATATTAATCAACAATTAAAGTTTCAATCTTCGTTGCTTTTGGTTGGATTTCGGTCTCGAATTTGCTTGAAACAGAGAGCTTGACTTCGTTTACGCTTATGTTTTGGGTTTTGATTATGATCACTCTAAACCCTGGATTTGTAATGGGGTTGGTTTCATCAGATCATGTCTTTCTTTTTTGTTTTGCCTTACTGTTGGATCATGTTCTAGATGAAAGAAAAATTGCTTTTTTTTTTTCTTTTGTTGAATCTCTATACAGTTCTTGGGTGATATTTTTGAAGAAATCATTGGAACAAGATTAGCCTCAAGTTTTCAGTAAAATTCAATGTTCGTTGGGTTTCAAAAAGATTGAAGATTTGCTAACTGTTAATTACTTTCTTAGCTGTTTTTGCTGTCTCTTTTCTGTTTGAGATCAAATTTACCATCTGGTTTTTTCTTGGTAAAATTCACTTTGAAAGGTTTGCTTTTGAGTAAGCTTTGATTTCCAATTTCCGCACACTTTCTTCAATATCCTTGATTCTTATTGGCTTTCTGATATATATTTTAAAGGTTGGTAGTGTTGACCAATTGTTTCAATAGCAATACTTTCTTCTTTAGGATGTAGTTTGTTGCAGATGTCCTTGTTTGGGATTTTATGTTCGAAGCAGAAAACAAATGATTTGCGCTTGCTTGTCTAGATGTCAGTTTAGTCTTCTCCAGTGTTTTTGTCTTGAGTATATGGTCGGCATCATAGTCATGGATGCTTTCTTTTGTTATCACTTTTGTATATACTAGTCTATTATTTGAATTTCTGTTCATAGGAGTATCTTTAACGTGTTTATGCTGCACAAGAGTGCGTTTGTGTCTTTAGTATGTGTATTCTGCACAAGAGTGCGTTAGGTTTGTCTGTCATGTGCCTTCCATTCTCATTCCTATGTTATAATATTGTAGGGAAAATGATCAAGCTATTTAAAGTCAAGGAAAAGCAGAGGGAAATTGCAGAAAATGCTAATGGGAAGGCACCTGTAAAGAAGCAAAGTGCCGGAGAATTGCGCCTTCATAAAGGTTTCATGATTTATACTATCTTTTGATGATGTCATGTTTAGTGACTCTTTAAACTATTATTACTTTTGATGATGTCATGTTTATAGTATCAAATTTGGACTTGCTTTAATATCATATGGAGTTTTGATAACATTGGTTCCTGATGCTTTGATTGAACAGAAACAAAAATAGGAACACAGTGGCAGTCGCAGTCTTTTATGATTTGCCTATCAAGAAATATGAACTACTATTTTTCTAAGTTATTTTGTATCATTATAAGAATTTTGTTGTTGAATTTTTTACAGAATGAAGAAAATTGTATATCTCATAACTTCAGTTGTTAGTCAAGAATGATCTGTAAAACTTTCTTCTTCTAATTTTTCTTGGAACTTATAAATCTGTTATGTAAAACGCTTAGTCATTTGAAAATTGTACTCCACTAATCCAACTTCAACTAGCTTAAGTTGTCTGTATCCATTCCTATTCTGATTGTTGGTGTGCCTTACTTTGTAGACATCAGCGAACTGAATCTACCAAAAACATGTAGCATTTCATTTCCCAATGGCAAAGATGACTTGATGAACTTCGAAGTTACCATTCGGCCTGATGAAGGTTATTATCTGTAAGTGATCTTTTGCACATTACCTTATTTTGTTCCAATGTCAACTGCTATAGGAGCCTTTTTCTTTCAACACAGCCTTCTTTCTTAAAGATATACTTTTAATGTGAGATTTCAAAATTGTGCAAGCAGAGGATTGGTATTTTGGGCTGAAGAATACTAATGGCTGCTAGTTTAGATAGTAAAATGTTCTCCTGGGGGAAGTTATAGGATAAGTCTATGGCAACCCAGGTGGTTTTTGATCATTGTGGCATTTAACAGGGTTAATCAATGGAATGGGGCAAATCTAATGTGAGCCTCTCTGCACCTGTGCCATGTGTTAAACCCTGCTGCTTAAAAATGAATCCAGCTGTCTGAGGATCAGGATTCTCAATTGTCTATGAGCTTTTTATTTCTGAACTAAGCAGAATGTCTATTATTTTTGTTCTTAATATGCAAGTCGTTCTTGTATGCAAGCACTTATTTCGTTTTTGGTCACAGAGGTGGCACTTTTTTATTCTCTTTCCAGGTTTCCCCCATCTACCCCCATGAGGCACCTAAGGTCAAATGCAAGACGAAGGTACACAAGCATGTCTTGACCATAATGTGTTCACATTTGAATCATGTTACTAGATACATGGTATTTCATTCTGAAAAATGCTTCCCTTTTGCAGGTGTACCACCCTAACATTGATTTGGAAGGAAATGTTTGCCTCAACATTCTAAGAGAAGATTGGAAACCTGTTCTGAACATAAACACCATTATTTATGGATTGTTTCATCTCTTCACGGTATTGATTTTCCTTTCACTAGTGGTTTTGTGACTTGGTTGGTCCATTTTTAATTACAGTTTGTGATTGTGAATTCAGCAACCCAACTATGAGGATCCTCTCAATCATGATGCAGCAGCTGTTTTGAGGGACAACCCCAAACTGTTCGAGTCCAATGTGAGGAGAGCCATGGCTGGTGGATATGTGGGCCAAACCTTCTTCACACGGTGTATGTAGCTGCATCTTGTATCAAAAAGGATCCATTTGCTTGAAGGGTCAATGGCTGTATATTCGGGTTGTAAGACTAGCGTGCTGTTAGGAGCCATATTCTTCGGGACTGTGTGAGGCACACTTGGAAGTATTTCTATGCTTCTGTAATTTATGATGTGTTTGTGAAGTTGGCTGGGTCAACATTATTTTCTCTATTTGAGTGAAACAAGTTGGGGGATTGGAACTTGAGACCTTTTTTTTTTTTGTCATGTATTTATTTATTTCATCTTTGCAAGCAAGGACATATATTTTACATCAATGAAAAGGGAAATCATGCTTTATCATGCGACCCATATCTTGGCTATTCTCCGCTTTTCAATAAGTTCTCATTCAGTTTCTAATGAACTACTTTGCTGCATATTTGCTAGTTTCTTTCAGTTGCCAGTTGCCAGCACCAATCGGGATTTAAGCCAAGGCGCTACGTGCAAGAGGACTATTCTTCTCTCAAGATCGTTATTTCTTTCCAAGCCCTGCATCAGAAGGTGATATAAAACGGAAATTAGGTACTACTTTTCCCTTTCTGTTCTGAAAAAGGGGGATTCGGACTCAACTCAAAATCAGGGGGATACAACTTTTAAGAAAGAAGTTATTGGAAATTCACTCTTACGTGAACTTGAAATTCGATCGGTTTATCAAATGGATAGCAGCCTAGAAGAGGGAGAACCGGGGTTGAAATGCAGAGAGAGATGGGATAAGAAACACATTGTGTATTTATAGACCAGAAGAAAATTATAAAATCTTCTTCCAACAGATGTTGAACTACAAATAGAAAAAAAAATGTTACCGAAGAACACATACCAAAATATTATTGATGAATTAATCTTACAGTTATTCACGCATAAGAACTTCAATCATATACAAATACAACATTTATAACAAATAAGGGAAGCAGAAGCTCTAAAATGGGAGCTACTCCATGTAGTTCAAGCTAGAAAAGTAAGGGTCACTCAGTTATCCAAAATGTATTGACAAGTGATATCTGAAGACCGTTCTCTATATATAGATATATAAGGAAAAAGAAGTTGAATGAAGATGGACACAATGTTGTTTGAGCAAGGCCTAGTTAAGGCTGTCACCAGGTGCAGAAGAATGAGGAGGGGCAAACCTTTTGACCATTGCAGCCATGTATTTTCCCTGATGCTCAGCAAGAGCCAGCTCTGTTTCGCTTGGTACCCTGGAGCCATCACCAGAATAAACTCCAGCACCATATGGGGACCCTCCTCTGAGTGAGTCCATTTTGAACATTCCAGCACCAAAGGTGTAGCCAATGGGAACATAAAGCATCCCATGATGGGCTAATTGAGTGATAGCTGTCCAGCTGCATTATAGAAGTTAACAAATCAATCCATTAGTTGGCATGACAACAAAAAAGACAGAGAAGCACCCTTGGAATCTTCATTCCTTTTCTCAAGCTGATATTCCTTTCTTATGAATATCAGAGAGAAGAAAAAGTAAGTCCTATTCAGCGAGACAAGTTCATGTTCTGAATTCCATATTAGTTGTTTTTTGTTTCTTTGGTGTGTTTGAGAAAGTCAAGGAGGGAGAGAGAATTCAAATTTAAGATGGGTAACAACCTCTAGGACAACTTTGGATTAAGTAATTCCGCAGAGTTATTATATTTTTTGGAAATATATGGGGTTCTTTACTTCTTTGTAGAATCTTAAAAAATGCAACATCCAAATTAAACTTTGTATGTATTCATTTTTTAACAGTCTACTTCATATAAAGAGAATCTTAAGGGCACACTAAACTAACAGATAGAGGTAAACTTAAACTAAGCTGATAACATCTAGAGACTAACATGATTGGGAAGAAAACAACCATAACATCTAAAGAAAGACATAGAAGGAGCCTATAGTAAAAGAAGCATCCATGATGATCCACTCAAATCCAAAACTTCTGCTGGCTAACAAACCAGATGATGCAACAGCACATGTTCGAGTGGGGAACAGAAATTTACGGTTACCAGCATTATCAGCCAACTACATGACCGTATTATGTAATGTAAGGCACCCTATTGTCAGAAAGAACTGAAATTTAATGGAAGATGCAGTATAAACTTGCAAAAAGTGAAAAGTAAATTAATTCTCTACCCTCGAATTATGTCCCCTAAATTTTTTAGAATGACAAGAAACATCTGTTCCTTTCTTGTTATGGATTGCTTTCTTTCCCCAGTCTCGAATATCCAGAAATTTTCATGGACACCACAATGAGATTCAAGATACTTTTATACCAACTATCCGACTGGTTGGTTCTCTCGAATACTTTACTGCCCTGAACAGTTTATATGGAGCAAATAGCAACCAATCTACGGTGAGCAGGGGTATATTTCTAAGAATTTGGTATAATCTGATACTGATATATCCTAATCATATCATGTGAACTTTTTCCATAAAATTTCTGCTATCCTAACTGTATACCATGATCTATCTTGTCAAAAACATCAAAGATATAATCATATCAGAGTCGATGTCAACAGTTACACACTAAAAAATACAGATACAGGACTTCATGATGTCTCCATTATATGTTAGTTTCTAGTCTATGTAATTCTACCAAGACAGTAAACATTGCTTGATGAATAAAAAACACGATTAACCACATAACACCCCAATTAATTCCCAACAATTCTTATTTTAACAATAGGTGAGGAACTCTACAATGTTTTCATGATTTATTAAAACTCAATTCATCTAGTCCTACAAAATAAAACAAATACATCAGGCACACAATGTACAGATCAAACATATCTTCCAAAAATCAAAATCAAAGTACTTGAATTTTGGTAAAAATAAAACTATCTAAACAACCAAAAGGATATACTCACGCAGTAGTCTCTTGGCCACCACCCTGCGTCCCAGTGCTGACAAAGAACCCAGCAGGCACGCCTGCAAGCCTCTGCTGTTCCCACAACTGCCCTGTAGAATCGAAAAATGCTTTCATTTGTGATGCCATGGAACCAAACCTCGTTGGGAAACCAAACAACAGTCCATCAGCCTCCACCAATTCATCAACCGATATGACAGGCAACTCATCCTCCTTCTGAGGCACCCTCATCTGTTCCAATACATCCATTGGCAGAGTCTCCGGAACCCTGTACAAAAACCCTTCAACCCCATCAATGGAATCCACTCCTTTCTTCATTCTTTTAGCTAAACACTCTACATGGCCGTACATTGAGTAAAAAACTATGAATACTTTTAGTTTCTTTACTTCGTGGGATGAACTGTTTTCAACTGTGATAGCTGTAGTCGTGGCAGCAGCAGTTTCGTTCTGGGAAAGAACAGGAGCATCCCTATCAGGGTTTGGAGGATCTTGATCTGAAGCTTCTAAAGTTGATCTTTTCTTGCTGAATATGCAACCACCTCCTTTACCCATCAACAACAATGGGTTTATTTAAGCTAATGATACCGTTTTTCTAAATCCCAAAGTTTTCAAGAGAATCCAGAAAGAATTTGACAGTAGCTTTTCTGGGATAATATATATTCCAAGACTGGATCTGTTTCTATCAGTTTTTCTATAAATGTACCGCACAGAAAAACACAAGAAAAACAAGAGGAAGAAGGAAAAAGAAGGATGAAAGCGGGAATAGTAGGTGGTGTATTAGACGATGGAGTTGACCTCTTTGTTTGAGCTGTTTGTTGGTCTGAAGTCTGAACTGGCCGAGATATTCGCTGGCATAAAAGTGATTATAAAACTTTGAAAATGATATTTCCACAACTGGCAACTGTAACATGTTTTCCATATTTAATATTTGTGACATATTATATACCCAACGGCTTCTTTCTTTTCTGTTACATGTTAGCATTAGTTACCAGTACAACGTAGTAGCTGTCTTAATGATTTCTGTTGTGTTATTACCTCCGGTCCTCCTTTTACCACGCGAAACCAATAGGAAAAGAGAAGAAAGGAAGCCATAGGTCTTTGAAGTGAATTAAGAAGAAAAAGAAAAAGCTATGTGGACCTTGTTCCCCCTTTTTTTTTTTAACAAAAATCCATATACACCCTCCGAAATGTCTTAATTTACTTGGGAACCCTTTGTTTTGTTAAAAAGAAAAAAAGTTATATTTTGTCAAACACAATGAAACTATCTAAAAACATTAGAACATGAGGAGAGCTCAATGCGCCTAAGGAACAATGGAACAAATTCAGTGCTTTTGTCGTTATGATACAACTTGCATATCCACAACATCTACATGTTACATTAACAACAAGCAACTCCACAGGCACGGGTTAGCAAAAGCATTCGAATAGAGACATGCAAAACCCTCCATTTTTAACATTCAAAAAGAACAAACTTGTACATATTTTGCCTCTTCAAGTGACTCGGACGACAAAAGGTGGAGAGCATACTCCAATGCTTCAAAACTTTGAGGAGGACAATGGACATTCTTTTTTACTGTAGCAAAAGAGACGAAGTAACAGTCTTCTCATTGTTGCTTCAATGAGGTGCTTTTAGATCTCTTTAACTCCCACGGTGGTAGACAGCCTTTATAGTGAGAGTGCAAAAAGAGTGAAGACATTGATACTTCCCTCTGAGGCATTGAGATTGATGATAAGCAACTGAAGGCACTTCTCAGTCTCTTTTTTTCACTGTCTCCTTGGATGTTGGCGTCATGGCGCACAGCAGAAGCTTTAAGAGCCTCAGGAAGTATGCAGTTGCATAATGAACCTACAAGGAGGATAAAAAGGGTGTGAAGAGTAGTTTTTCATGACCTAAAGAATGATTTCAAAAGAACGGTTGCTAGGGTATATAACTCCAATAAGCATTGTCTTAAATCACCACATCTTTATTCTTTCCAGGAAAGTAGGCCTTCTTCAGCTTCAGTTATCACCTAGACCAGGAAATCCTCTCTAACAACAATATATGTATATATTACTTCAGCGTAATGTGTATTTGAAAGCCTCCTGAATACCTTATGCTCTAGGAAGCAGGAAACAACCCAAACGTAAAACTCATTTGCATTTAATTTGACTAATCAAGCATATAGATGTGCATATACATTTAAATCTTGTTGGATTAACTTTCAACACCAGGAAGCAGAGACAAGGTTTCATAAAGTCAACAACTAAAAATTCGGGATTCAATCTTTCATTGCATCACACCAGTACTAAGAATCGAAGGCATGTGGACCCAAAAGAATTTTCAACTCAATATATGTAGGACTAAGAATAAAATGTGTTATAATACCTATTCTTGCAAGTCGATTCACCCATTTTGGTATCTGGTTCCCTGTCAGCTTGTAACATATATCCTCACAGAAATGATTGCAATTCTTAAAAATCAAGTGGTATGTGTCACCATGGTAACTTGCAGATTGGCGCTCCATGAACTCTCTGACCTGGACAGGATCCAAGCATGTTGTCCCCATGAAAATCGACTTCCTAAACTTGAAGCCGGGGCACTGCCGAGGTTCAACCTCAAAGACACCACTTGTTGGGTAGTCATGAGCTCCAAAGGCATATTCTACACCATGAACTGTAAGCGTGCACAGGGATAATAAGAAACCATTTGCAACATCCTGAGAATATTGCATCATTAATGAGAAATTCAAAAAAAGACAGCAGAAAATATCTTACAAAACAATTTTTGTAAGACAACTGGCGAATGCATTAAGAAATTTATGCTTGAAAAAGCAGGGCATGTAAGGTAGGTGAGAGTAATGGAGAATAAGCCTATGAAGTGATACACAGAGAAAGGACAATGTTTTCTTGTCATATCACAATTAATCTAGGACATCAAAATTACTGAGGATCCATCAGAGTATTTGTCACTGAACAAATTGCAGGCTTGTTCTAATTTTTCTGACGGAAAAAATGTACACCAATTTCCTCTGTTTGTCCCCCAGTTCCCTGCCTAAGTCTACTATAGACAACAACCTTATGCTTCCTCAATGCAGATGTGATTGCATTGTAGCGAAAAATAATATAATGAAATACTTATGTTGCATCACTACCTCACGCTTTTGAAAAATAAAATTAAGATCAGTTCCTGACATCTTTTAGTTAATCAATGATAGTACATCTTTCGAGTTGGAACTGAATGAAAACGGAAAGTATAAAATTATCACGATTAGGAGAATTGCTATGTCACTTATTGTCGTGAATAACCTTAAGAGACCATCAGAAGAATTTTCTGCCAAAGAAATGTCCACTGATTAATGCTCATGAAAATTGGTAAAGGAAGAAAATAATCCAACCTTCCACCCCAGTGTGAAAGATGCCAAGGCCGGCCCAATAAACATAGCCGTTAACATTTGTCAAGTCATACACATTTAGGTAAACAGGAGCATTGCCAGGACTGAAGCCTGCTGACTTTACTTTTGGAAACATGCAAAAGCGGGTAGCTGAATTTCCTCGGAAACGAAGAGGCACAATAGAGTGCCAACCATGTTTTGTTTGCATTTCAGTGATACTGGAAAATGGGTCAGTAACTTGCTCCAATCTGCAAAATATGGATATATGATTATACATATATTGTGCCCATAGATTACAAAAATGCAAAACAATTTAAATTCTGGGAATCATTCCCATTGCAGAATATTGTTTAGTAGGACATAATAATCTCCCTGCTTCATTATTCCAATCGAAGTCCTCTCTTAGTCCTCAATATTGACATACTCAGTTGAATGCAGCTACCAAAATTGGTTTAAATGAACATATACCCAAACTTACACCCCAGATCCCACAGTAAAATACTCAAATCTCAAGCATTACTTTTCCTCAGAGACAGCACGTAAGTCAAAATGGAATTTTCATCACCGAAGACAATAAAATTTCTAGCTTTCCTGGTTTTGGACTCATAAAGGAATAAAAAGAGCAGATCATTCAGGCACCTCGAAAATGCACGTTTTGAGACCAAAAACAATCTATAGGTAAATAATATATTCAAGGAGGCAGATCAGATTCATAACAAGAACCCCAAAAAAAGGACTAAAACGAGAGAAACCAAGGAACTAATAGTGTACCAACCAACTAGTCTTACCCAAACAATGAAAGTTTGCTTAAAACGCTGACGAGCACCTATCTTTGCAACTAAAGAAGCAAATACAAATCAACAAGAACAAAAACATGAGAGAATGAGCCAAACCCATGTAAGAAAACCTCCAAACAAGCACACATTGTAGCGAAAAAGAAGAAGAACGAAGGAAACCCACTTGCCTCCGTGGAGAGAAGTGTCATGAGATGAGACCCAGTAACACAACGAAAGGTTAAGTCAGGACCAAAATGCAGGGCAGAGACATTCCCACAGCAAGGAGAGCAACCTAAGAATGGAGCGTGTGCTGTGACTGAAACCCACACATTTGGCTCTGTCTTTTTCTTTTGTTTTGTTTGTTCTTTCCTTCTGACAAAAATGAAAGCTGGAGCTGGAGTACAGAAACTAGTTGTCCTTTCTTGGAAGACAACTGATGAACAAAGGTAAGAATATCAGCAAAGAAAAATAAATTTGTAGTAAAATAATGTTTTGTTAAAGGTAAAAAGCCGGTTGTGGGACTGGAAAATGCTGATTGACTCACTTTTGAAATTAAATATGGACAATGTTAAATCTGTACGATTTATTCTAATTGTTGTTATAACTGTTCCTGCCTTCCTTTTTCCTAATTACTTGCTTTTTTTTTTTACCCAAAAGAAAGTGTGATTAAATACTAATTTTACTGCTTAAAAAATTATGAAGCTTAGTCCCTAGAATCTGGATAACCGTGAGACTTTATTAATAATCCGATTCCCGAGTTAAGAGTAATAATTGAGAACAAATCAGAACTTGGAGTATGAATAGTTTTCTTTTGATTTTCTCTTGTTGAAAGACGAATTCAGAAACTCTTTTGCTTTATTTTCAATTTAATTCGGAAATTTGTTATATATTTTGCAATTGCATTTTTAAAGCTGTAAAATTCATAATAAAATATTATTAGGAATGGAATATTGTTATTAGTGAGTAAGATATATTGGTTGGATTATATGTTCTTTTCATGAAGTTAAATTTTTAAGCAAATGATTATATATTTATAATTAATTTTTTAGATTTGTTCATAATCAATGCGATCTTTTAGTCAATGGATTTGTCCCAACCTAGTCGACGTTTTGGATATAATTTTTTTTGACTTTCAGAAAAAAAAAATCTGTCTTGAGATATCATCATCTATAAAAACATATTTTTATTTATTTTTTAAATTTTAAAATATAATAATATTAATATAAAATATTTTTATGTTAATAATAAATTTAATTTAAATTGACTTAAATCAACTAATTTTATTGAATTGAGCTCAAACTTAATTTTTAAAAATATCAATTGAGACAAGCTTGACCAAATCATTTTCATGAACATCTGTAATATTAGATCGAGTTAATAATTTTTGTTGCATATAAATTTAATTATAGAACGCACTGCATCTTAATCAAGCCAGTAATTCTTGCTCCTAATTGGATTATATATTAATTATAGTAGAAGCTAGGGGCATCTTTGTAAAGATATTTAGTTCAGTAATGTTGTCTAGGTATGGCTTCGTGTTAATTGTAAACGGATAATAATTTTAGGAGTTTTTTTGTATATTATATTAAAAGGAAAATAATTGAATTCTATTATACAAACTATAGTTCAAATTTTGTGTGAAATATTATTTTAAAAAAATAAATAATAGCAACTAAGAAAATCAACTTGTAAATTTAACCATGCAAATATTTTCATTTTGTACCTTTTGTATTCGCTAGTTTATACTTTATATATATTAATTAATATTTGATTTTTAATATAAAAATAAGAATATTCTTCCATTATTATAACTATAACTTATATTAGTTATTGTTTGAAAATCCTTTATGCACAAAATTTCAAGAGAAAATTGTAAATAATAACCTTTTTTGATAAGAGTAATTTAAAAATAATTATTAAAATAAATTTAACTATTTTTAGTCATATTTAACTATAGCTTGACAAAAATATCTTTAAAATTATTTTAAATAAATTAAATTATTTATCACAATTTCTCTTCATTTGTGTTTCTGATTTTTCTCTTTCAACATCTTACTCTTTCTAATTTTATCGATTTCTCTCCTTACTATTCGTCTACTATACTCTCGATTTCTCTCTCGCACTTTCAAATTTATTTTTTTAGCACTTTGAAAATATCAAACGATGATTTTGATGTACTTGAGTGGATGTCTATTTAAAAAATTTGATTTTTAGGTATTTTGGATAAAACTAAATAATAGAAATGATCACAGATGTTTGAAATAGTTTTTAATTAGATTAATTCGGAATCTAGACACCAATAAATTCAAATTTTTAAAATTTATAAACTTAGATTTTTAATGAAATTTTTTTATATATTCTTAGTCAAAATAGGTGCTTTGGATAAGAAAATTTATATTTTAATTTATAAAAACATGTTAGAAATATTTTAATCTGTGTCAAATTATCAAAGAAACACAAATAAATAAAAAAAGTTGAGAGGATTTAAAGTTTTAGTTTGTAAGTAACAATAACAGTTTAGGTATTAAAGTGTAACAAAATGTTTTTGAATATAACGTGTAATAATAATATTTTTTCAACATGGCATGTAATAACAGTATTTTTTTTAACATAGCATGTAACAATATTTTTTAACCATAACGTGTAACATGCTTTTGTACCTAATGTGTAATAATAGTAATTTTTTTAATATGACATGTAACAACCTAACGTGTAATATTTTTGTACATGACGTGTAATAATCTAACTATGATGTGTCACATGTTTTTGTACATAGCGTGTAATAATCTCACCATGGCGTGTAATATGTTTCTGTACATGGTATGAATATCATGACATATAATTTCATTAAAGATAATTTTATCCAACTTGATTAAAAATAATTAAATTATAAAAAAATATTTTTAAAAAAATATTTTTAAAAATGCCCCAAATTCTAATCTAGATGTGCAAGGTTTTTATTTTTCATTTATAAAATGGGCAATTAAAGTAAGTCGGTGGTCAAAAATAGGATTTAATCCGGACCGTAGGCGTATTTTGACGGGACGATCTCAGCCGTCGATAATTGACATAGACGCCTTATAAAAGGGAAAAGAGCATTACGCGTGTTAACGTGTATAAAACCTACCGTATCAGCTATCAATCCAAAATTTGCCCTTTCGCGCCATCCTCTCGGTCTCAGGTGTTTTTGTCCCTCCTCCCTTCTCCTTCTCTATGCCTTAACCCCTAAATCGAAACTGAAAACTTAGGGTTTTCTTTATTGTTAAATCTTTGATTATTCCAATTTTCTAGTCTTGGTACCGGATTGAATTCACTCCTAGGACCACTTTCCATAAAAATTGAATAACAATTTTTTTGAACTAACTGCGTATCAAGTAGGTTTGGTTTTTCCCTTTTACTTTATACCAAAATTCAAAAAAAGTTGCAGAAAATATTTTAGAAGGTCACAAGTTGTTACCTGATAGGGCTCAGTGTGAGTTTATCTCTGCTTTTGCGATTTTTGCTTTTGTTTGGATTAGTCTCTATTTTATTTATGATGATTTATGATTGATCAGAGTGAGATTATTGAATTATTAATTTCAAGAGTCCATGTGAATTTCTGTGTTCCGAGTTATGATAGAATAAATTTGAGACATATGCATGTTGGATTGATCTACCGAATAATGCAAGTCTCAAATTCTATCCTTTTGGCATGTGACGTGTGCAATGCGTGAAGGTGTTCAAACAGACAAGTGTTTTTATCTGTTCACTTTGATGCTTTCTTGTCCTTTGGTTTAGTTTTTGTATAATGACATGAAAGATGAGAATTGTTTTATTGTTTGTTGACTGGGTTATTCCATTGGTATTTAGAGAGACAAAATGGGGACAGAAGATAGAAATTCAATTGCTAAGTCCAAACCTCCAAAACAGAAGGATTCCAGGGAAGTCAGGAGACTAGCAAAGTCTCATAAAGATAAGGTTCTCCTTTGTCTCTGTTTTCTGCATTTGTTCTGACCAAATATCAATGCCAAAGACAACAAATAAATAAATGAAGACTTCATGATTTGTTTCTCCAGGAAACTTCAGCCGCACCTGTACCTTTTCCGGCGCCGCATTGGTTAAACTCTGTGCAGGTCAAAGACAGTAATAGAGTACTGACAGACAATCTTCTGAACATATTAATTACTATATATATATATATATAGTATCTCAACTTGAATAACTTAAGTGGCCTCTCTTGCAATGAACAGATCCAGTACACTCAAGATGGTTTTTCTTTGCCAAATTCTCAACTGCATTACTTGGTAAGCCAGGCCATTGTCTTAATATTTGTGAGGCCCCAGCTCTGCTTTCTTCAAAGAAAGTGTTCTACTTTCTTTTCTTTGAATTTTTTTTCCCTTTTTGTAGCCTCAACTAATGCAACCTAACCCAATTCCACAATTTTATCCTGGTTTTTATCATATGAAGTCGCCACATGCATATTTTAATGCTGTCGGGGTACACTTTCATATTCCGTCTGTTGTTCTTTTCCCCCATCTTTTTCCATTTCAACAGATAGATTGTTTCAATTATTTGTTTCTCTGGAACTATTTTCGGATTTGAATGTATTTGGCTTCGTATACGAAAGCAGTTTCTACTTACTTTTGTAACTCATTTACTTACTTGCTCATCGGATAATGCATATATCTTATTCAATCATTGATAGATGTTCAGGATTCCATGCTGCCGATTTCCGAGAAAGTAAAAGATATTCCAAGAGAAAAAAACCTGGATTCAGGCAGAAGTAAAGAAGAAGGTACAAGTTACAGAAATCATACCCATGATTCTCCGAGAAGGTATTATTGTCATCATTTCTTTTCTAGTATGCATCTGTCACTTCTTCAGTTTCCTTTACTTCCCTTTTGGGTGGGTGGGGTAGGGAAGTGTTGTACCAGACTGTAATTGCAAATTTTTCTTTCAATAGTGCTGCTAGTGGTGATGAGGCCTCACCTGATGGAATGGGTGACGCTAATCAGGTACGTGACTTTAAGAAACTTTCTCTTGCTAGTTCTTGTTAGTTGCAAAAACAAAAAACCACTTCTGTGAAAAGGTAGTTTAAGTGGCTGATTATTATCAAATTCTGTAAATGTGTTCTGTTGGATCATGCATTGAAATATAAGTTGTTTAGTTTTTTTTTTTTTTTTTTGAAAAGCATAGGTGAATTTTTATTAATAACCAGGAATGAAACATTCCTTAACGGGGAACATCAGCAACAAAACCAAAACCCAGGAGTAATGGAAGCAAAACCCCTACAGGAAACTCCACTACTCCCTCACAAGACCTCCCCTCAGTTACAACAAAATCAAAAGAAAAACCCACATCTCAATACCCATCTTTGGAGCCTCAACCAGCATTCCTTGGCAATGATTTAATATTGGCAATGCATTTGGTTACACTTTTAAAAATTATTAAGCAGCTAGAATTTATTTAAGGTATTCTGTGAGAACCTATTTAAGGTATACTTAGTTAAAAGTTGTTTAAAATTTTTCATTGTTTGACTACAATAACTCCATAAATTAATTAAAAATTCTTCTATGCTATATTCTTTAAACCCTTATTAGATGCACAATCTCTATGAAGTTATATCTCCCTTTTGCAAAATGTTTAATAACAATCTGTTCATGTTTAATTTTTAAAATCATACCAAATAGTTTTTATGTACAAATTTAATACTTGTAAAATTCAGCATTGTTTCAGACTTTCCGTTAATCAAACAATACATGAGTCAAGCTTGTGAAACTTGTGAATTGGGTTGTTTTGCTAATGCGGTAGAAGCTTTCTCTTCCTTCAGGATCTTTCTGCAACGAAGAAGCAAAGATTGAATCAGACAAAAGCAGATGACTGTAAGTTTTTAAGTTCTTGGGGTTTTTCCCTCGTTGTCCTCCTCCAGTAGTTGCAATGGACGGTGTTACCTTTCAGTTTCTATTGCACATCTCTCTTTTTGTCTGTTTGTTTGTTGACATTGGTGCACATCCAGATACAATGGTGGAAGGTTCTGCGTCATACGTGCTTGAGTCTGCTCTGAACTTGGCAATAAGTTATAGTTCTGTCGGGTCGGTATCAACAACAGCAAAGATTAGTGTATGCAGCTGGTGCCCTCACTATTTTAGCTTAAGACTAATTGCAAGTTTTTGTTTTTTTTCTAGCAACTGAAGCAAAATTTTATTGAAACTGAACAATTGTAATATACATCTCAAAGCATCTCGATCCAACAATCTACTTGTCTCTTCAGGGAAATCCTGAGGATATAACTAACTAATTTCCCCCAAAAACTATACCGCCAATCAGAGTAGATTTGTCCAGTAGAATGTTCTATCCGGTTAAACGCAGCTCCGTTCTTTAAATTCTAAAAATAGAACAGAGATTATCTAGAACTTTCATGTATGTGCCAGTTAGCATGATTGCATTTTATACCTTTTTTTTCTGGTTTTCATCACTTGTCAGGATGATTATGACCTGAGAAAGCAAAGGAGGAGGCAACTGAATCGGGAGTCAGCCAAAAGGTCAAGATTACGCAAGCAGGTATCCATGTTTATACGTGTGGATGTGCACACGAGTTCCATAAAACTTTTACATGATTTTCATTTAGACTTATTTTTCCTGCTTACATAATGTTTATTTTTTAAAAAATAAAAAATAAAAAACTTGATATCCTGGGTTATCAGCATATCTTGCCTTGCTTAAATGGCACCAGATTTATGCCTTTGTTGCATTCATGGATTAAGAAACGGCCAGCATTGAAGTACATAATTAGAGTGGAGATATTATATTGTGACTCATACAGGATCTAATTTGGAAATGCATGAATAATACTATATAATTAAAATATGAACAAACCATTTGGGGATGAAAAGGTTTGCATAGCTAGGTAATAAGTTAAAGTCCAATTACATACGCTAATACTTGTATTGTGGATTTTGTTGTTTCCCCCAGCAAGAACGTGAAAGACTACAAGCAAGAATAGAGGTGCTGAAAGTTGAGAGCTCTGCGCTCTGCGAGGAACTGAATAGAGTTTCAGAGGAATGTGGGAGACTTGATGAGGAAAACAAACTAATTATGGTTCACCACCCAGACCTTTCTGCATATTTTCACGTCCCCTTTTCTTTGTTTATTGCAATCTTATTGATATCTTCTGCATATTGACAAAAAAATACGTCCTATCCATAACATGATTGGTTTTTAATTGTGGAAATGAAACAGGAAGAGATAATCCCGATGTGCGGGCCAGATGATGACCTTGCAGCTTTGTGGGCTGAACTTCATGCTTGAAAACCCGAGCGTACCTGGAAGTGCTTCAAGTTCAATCTCTATTTTGAAGCAATAAAGCAATATCTAAATATACCTGAATGCTGTTTATATTGGAGTATTTATACAGTACATGGCTCTCAGCCAATGAAAGAAACGTTTTCTCCTGTATTTGCTATTCAGTTTAACTTCGCCCTGAATCTCGTAGTTTCACAGTAAAATTGCCCTTCTACTTTGATTCTTTGAAACAACATGTAATTCGATATGTGCAAACGATTATTTAATAATTATTTCGGTTAATTCGATTTTAAATATTTAATAATTAAATTAATTAAATTTATATTTAAAAATAATAATTGAATTATACAAATAACTGAATTAATCGAAATCAAATTAATTCGGTACTTCTGTTAGTTCAGTTTGATTTTTAAAAAACAAATTTGTCAAATTTTTTATCTATTTTGTTTGTATATATATTTATTTATGTTGTATTTTTTTTATATAAATTAATATTATAAAAATATTAAAAATGATAAAAGAAATTATAATAAATAAGATTGATATTTATATAATTAAACAGGGAGAATAGATTAAGTTTAGAATTTTTTTTCATACAAAATCTCTATAATATCTTTACTTTAGTTTGATTAGAAATTTTTTTAATTGAAATTGAATCAAATTAATTTTAATAATTGAATTATTTAAAAAATCGAACTAACAGAATTGAAAAAACTAAACTCATTTCCGGTTCACATTTGCTCTCTGTAATCAGATTTTATTGGGTCTATTCTTGAAAATTTATTTGGCTACAAATCATAACAAAACGAAAAAGAAACGGATTTGAACAAAACTACTTACCAGGAAAAAGGTGACGGAGAGATTCTCATGCTTTCGAGAATTGATACTCCCTGGAGACTGCTGCTGGCTTTTGTGGATCTTCGGGACGGAATTTCTTTTTCTTTTGTTGGAACTCGTCAATAATGTAGATCTGGGACAGCTAAGCAGTCAACATTACCCCATTCAAGAGAATCAAAAGGACCGGATTTAAATGGTAAAGAGTAATTTGTGTTATACATTTATCCAGCTTTCATGCAGGCTAGAAAGTAGGAAACAGTACTTCCTCATTTTTTTCAAAGCTGCAAGAATTGATACAAAGTGGCCCAAACCCATGACCCATCACTTTCAGTGGAGTTGCGAGAGCTGTTGTTTACCATTTATTTGGATCTTTCAAAACTAACAAGAGTTCCGGTTCAGGTCTAGGTAAGGTTTTCCAATCCCTTACCTATCAATGGTAAATTTTTTTCTCAGAAATAGAAACAATGTACATGCTCGGAAAAAGGTTACCTGTGAATTATCATGAGCAAAAGCAAAATATATTAGCATATTGAGTTGGAAGAAATCAAGTTTAACCCTGGTTAAACCCTTTACATAGACATCGTATGAGAAAGTGAGTAAGTTCAATATCAATGGATTTAAATTGCTTCAAAACCTGCGCAATGGTGCAGACCAGAAAAAGAAAAATCCAAAGCAATAAAGGACAAATCTTTATCACAAAAAAAGAAAAAAAGAAAAACTTATTCTTTTCGATTTTCTTTGCTTTGGCAGAAGAGCAAGATTCTAAAGCTTTAGGTAAGAATAAATGGAAGGCACCGCTTTTTTTGTATGTGTAATCATATCTGTTTGAGGAATATATGCTTTGAGCCATTTACAGGATGACCCTTCTGCACCCAGTGCTGACTGGTGATGAAAAAAGCAGAGGGTGATTGTGATGAACAAAGCACAAATTTACCAATCTGAACCGTCAGGAAAAGCTTTCAATGCATCCTGATTGCCGTTAACATAATATTCCACAATGGCTTTCATTCGTTCGAGTTTATTAGGATGGTAATTCACGTGAATAATCACCGGCTTAAACTTGCTCAGTCTAGCATCTTTTCTCACAGTCTTGAAGAGGACTTTACTGTTCATGAAGAGATAGAAATCCATAGTTCTGCGGGCAGCATAAATCCCCTCATATCCAGGATGTGATGGAAAAAAGAGTTCCTCATTGAAAACTGCCTGGTCCCAAGACTTCGGCTCACGAGCAAGCCGACTAGCCACACGATCCAAGAGCTCAATTGAAGGGATTGTCGGTCTGATATAGAAGAAACCAGAGTTATAAACCCATAGGCGAATTGTGTGTGCATATCGAGCCCATCCCATTGTAGGTTCATCAAAGACATCATCAAATCCATAAGCAGTCATGTTATTATGGCCATCAGTCATGGATTCCACATCTGAATCCCGATATAGATAATTGAAAGGGTTCTGTAAATACACAATATCAACATCTGAAAGTAGAACACTGTACCCCAGCTGCAAAAACTCTCTCAAAATACGAAATTTCAATCCTGAAACAGCATGGTTCGTCCCTGCCCTCCCAATAGAATCTATTCCTTCGTCTGGATCTCTCTTGTAAACTGGAACATCATTTGATTCGCAAAATTCGGCAATCTTATCATCCAAAGCAACAACTAAATAATTACGTATACCAACTCTCTTTATGCTTGTGAACCAAATCTCTAATGAGTCCTTCACATTCCAATTTGCAAGTGCCACTATAAGCTCTCTTTGAACAGCAACATTTTCTAAAAATTTTGCTAATCTGGGGTTCACAGACTCATCTGGAATCACGGTGGGGTTGGTTTTCAAACCTTTAACAGTTCCAAAAGACCCAGCTTTATGCTGCTTACCCAATGCCTCGACTTGCTTTTGTGCATGATCTTTCCCTTGTTCAGCTAACTTAAGCTTTTCAATGAGCTCCTTAACCTGTTGTCTCAACTCTGCATTTCTAATTGATGCTGCTGCATATTCCGTTTTCAACTCATTTAACTTTTCGGACGATTCGCATTTGGTAGATGGAACCTAGCAAAGAAACAAGTAAAATTGCGTTTACTTTTGTTTTCTAAAACCACATTCATGCCTAAAAATCCAACCCAGCTACAAGCACCATACTAGATGACAAAACCGAATATCAAGGCCTTTACAACATAAATCTCATTTTCAAGACTAAATTAACAAAATAATGTGGTTCGAATTCATAAAGTAAAAAACGAAGTGTAGTGCAAAAGCCATTGCTTAAATAAACGTCCAATACATTAGTAGAACAATTTATCAGCCCAAAGCAATACACAGACAAGATTTTTCCATTTTTTGTTTTTGGGTAGGAGAGAATTCAATTACCAGCTACTTACGGGCTATGAGGGAAAAAACACGAACTTTGAACTAAAGGTTATCAAGCAAAGCATAGATTATCGTCAAGTAGATCAAGAGCTAGACTTTGGATTCAACATTTGATCTGAAAACTCCAACCCAGAAACAATTGCAGAGCACAAAAAACCAATCAGTGAAGTCAATTCCTCAATGTTGTTAACACTTAACATTAAAGTAAGGAGAAGATTTGCCAAGTAAAAAGCTTCTTCTTTTTTATTTTTGCTTTATAAAGTCGCCATTGAAAATCTGAAATGAGCTCCAAGCAAACAAACAAACAAATTTTACAAAGAGGCAAATGATATAGAATAGGGGGTGGGAGCAGGGGATTCGGACCTGGGTGAGGCGAGAGTGGAATGTGGGGGCAGAGGAAGAGAAGAAGCCATGAGGATATAGAAAAGCGAAGACGCAACCCAATGAAATCCCAGTGGCTATTGCCATTAATATTCTTGATTTCACCGTTGACTGCGATGCGTTTCTCATCAACGGACCGTCTCTGCGTCCGCCCATCATTTTTTCTGCTCTTATGGTGTTTTAACTGAAGAAAGAGGGAAAGTTGGCTGCTGGTACTGGCCTTGAGGGGAGATCTAAGTTAAAAAGAGAATTACTTTTATGGAATGGAGCAGTGGAGATCGTTCTCTTCATTTGATTTCTAATACAATACAGTCTAACAATCATCAGCATTCACCAATCATTATTAAGAACGGGAGCTGGTGCCTGGTGGCATTCCCGCATCCATGTTGACAGGCCACGAGAGAAACACTAAACGATGTCGCTTTCCACACCTCCCCTCCCTGGCCCTTCTCTACCAACCTTGGGTTGGATCCGAACCCACTCTTCGTTTCTCCTTGTATACATATATTTTTAAGTATCAGGGAGGGACTTGAGTTCATGAATTTTTGCCTATCTATTTATCTTGCATTATAGGAAGATGTTATTTGTTGGAAACTACAAACATGACTTGTATGAAAGCTTAAAAACAACAAACATTGGCAGAAAATATTAGAAATCCATCTCTAGACCTCAAGCACATTGAATGTCTTGAAGAAAAAGGTAACAGTTGAACAGCTTGAGCACCAAAAATAGGTAATGTTCTTTGCGGTGAAAAATGCATACAAAATCATGGGTCGTGGAAGGAGCCTCTCTAGCCAGGGTTCCTTTATATATAAAAAACAAAATAGTAATAAATAAAATAGAAAACCTCGAGGCTGAGCATATTTGTAGATATAATACCCTCATACACTACTAATCCATGAGAGCCTGCTTATGATAGTGGTAAAATTATAAATTGAGGCTGCCATTTGGAGATACATCTCCAACCAAGGTAGCCAAAAAAGGTTAACTACATCATCTTCTATACCTTGTACAGATTTTGCTCAAGCAAATGCTGCAAAGGTAACACTTATAGATAAAACCCTATTTACAAAAAAAAAAATATACATCATAATGGGATCCGAGACTATAGTGCCGCATTTGTATGCCAACAGAAACTCTTCCCGTATATGCTGAACGTTAAGCTTCTCACACTTGAGAGAAACATTGGTACAAATGAATATTAACCAAAAGGAAAAAGAGTAGATGGAATTCAAACAGGAGCAACATCTGCAAATTATGCCCATTACGAAAGCATCAATCTTCATTGTCAGATCCTGTATCTGAATCTACTTGTCTTGGGCCGTCAATGGAACGATTTGGTTGTCCTTGCACAGGGTGAATAAGATTCCAAACAATCTGGTTCACTGCTAACATGAACAAAATGTGAGATCCACAGGTAGCTATTTTTACCGCTACTGATCTTTTTTTTCTTTTTCAAATAAACCGAAAGAAGAAATTGTAACCTTACAAAGCTAGCAATGTGGTTTAGAAATGCTTCTTCAAATAGTAGATTAGAGAAAATGTAACAACATAACATGTGGAATTGACACACTTAAAATGCTTTTACAGAAGAACGAGTACTTAAAAGATAATTTGGCACAATGGCTGAAGTTCAGTACTATTCATAGCACAGAATAAAACCAATAATGGTCCAAGTCTGTACCTGATGCCATGAGCTTCACAAAAAGTGCCCTAGCAAACTTGATTTCTG